AAGGTTGTACAAATTTATGTAGTGTAGTAGGTAAAAGGTTGAACAAATTTATGTAGTGGTAGAGCGCTCGCTTCATAAACGAGTGGTTCGGAGTTCGATCCCCACCACGTCCCTGGTAGTACCGCGCTCAACTCGTTTCTCCGCGCAGCGGCCTTGCTCGTCAAGGTTCGTGTTTCGAAGTTATAGAGTTGAGAGAGGGTTCTAACCACAAATAAGTAGCCTCCTCGTCTGTAGTGGCCTTCTCGGCCTTGAGGAGGTGAATTGAAATAAAAAAAATATATATATATATACGACACGCTTGTTTTTGTTTTTTATATATTAAATCTAGTTTTGATTGGTAGGTACTAGCCCAGGCAATATTGCAGTAGTTAATATAGCTATGTATATATGCAAAAAAAAAAATCTTGGAAAAACAAACAAGAACTGAGATTGGTCTGCAGCTGGAAACATCAGAAGGATCACCTCTTTTAAAAATTGGTGTAACCTTTGCACTTTTTAATAACAATTTAATATTTATATTATACTAAATATTAAATATAAAAAAATATTATACTAAATATAAAAAACTAAATATAATATTAAAACAATTTAATATTTACTTTAATTTGCTTTTTTAATATTTATGGACAATTTGTTCAACCAGTAAAAACGTGTCTAAAAGTTAAATTAAAGTATAAGTGGAATGAGAAAGATGTTTAGCAAGGTTATAGTTGTGTGTTCCAATTAATCCTATTATATGTCAAAAAGTGGGAAGAGAAGTACCTTTACTAAGTTTGTGCATCTTATGTAACGAATCTTATGTAACGAATCTTATGTATCGAATGTAACGAATCTTATGTATCGAATGTAACGAATCTTATGTATCGAATGTTATCGAATGTATCGAATAAAACCTTGCTATACAGGGTTTTATTGTCTTTTTGTAAACATTTAAGCTTATTAAGTTCTTCTGGGGGCCCTAGGACGGCTTATGTTTTGGGGCCCTTTTTATAATAAAATTTTTTTGGCATAGTCAGCCTATTGATAAATCCGGCCCTGCTTACACGGATAGTTCTTTTTTTATAGTAGGATTTTTTAATTCTTTAAACTTATTCTTATTAATTATAATATTATGTAAAGATTTTATATAGTCAATTTTGTTAAAAATATTTGTATCATTTCTTTTGTCTTTTGATAATGATGTTCTTATTTTTTCAAAGTCATTAATATTTTGTGTTTTCTTATATAACTCTCAGATGGTGTGTGTTTTCTTATATAACTCTTAGATGGTGTGTGTTTGTATACGTAACTTTTTGCCATAGGTTTTAAATAACTCTCAGATGGTGTGTGTTTGTATACGTAATTTTTTGCCATAGGTTTTAAATCATTTGGAGTTTTGAATCGTTGTTTTTTAGTTGAATGTTTAGAAATTGCAAAATACAATCATATTGGTCCAGGAAAAAAAATTCTATAGAATTTTCTATAAACTTTTGAAACATATGGCCTATAGAAATTCTATAGCATTTCTATGGAATGTCTATAGAATGTCTATTAATTTCTATAGAAATTGCTATAATACTTTTTTTTCTATAGAAAAAAAAGTATTATAGCAATTTCTATAGAAATTAGCTATAATTAGCCACTATTAATTAGCCACTATTAGCTTGCAACAAAGAATTGTGCTGTTGCAAAGAAGAAACTACAATTTCTCTTTCTAACTTATTGTAGCTGGCAGCACGTATTCTATGTAGCCCTTGTTTCATACTGCAGGATTTTTAACGCTTAAGTGAGAGGCTTTATAACAGAGACATACTTCTTTCAAACGTCATTTGTTACATCGATTCCTTTATCAGTTATCATCCTGTTTATATGTTTTACAGACATGCACATTGTGAAAAAGCAGTTATGCGTTTTGTCATAAACACTTTTCGTTTTCAAAATACACAGTCAGTTCGCTTAATTGTTTGTGTTTTTAGGTTGCGTAACTTGTATGTTCAATATGCAGCCTTGCTTTTAAACACATGACTGGAATCTAATGTCAATCCAAACAGGTTTAGATTTCATTATTTTTCATTTTGAGTTCATTTAAACCATTTAAATTTAAATACTTTTTTACTTTTTCTTGAAGTAATTCAAGAGTAAGACTTAAAAGTAACACAAAAGTAAGACTGAAAAGTAACTCAAAGTAAGACTGAAAAGTAACTCAAAGTAAGACTGAAAAGTAACTCAAAGTAAGACTGAAAAGTAACTCAAAGTAAGACTGAAAAGTAACTCAAAGTAAGACTGAAAAGTAACTCAAAGTAAGACTGAAAAGTAACAAAAAATTACTGCATTGTAAATGTAACTTCTGTTAATGTACACTCTCAAAGTAAGACTGAAAAGTAACAAAAAATTACTGTATTGTAAATGTAACTTCTGCTAATGTACACTCTCGCGGAAAGTGTGGAGTTTTCCTCCACACCGTTGAGTAGCTATCACTCATAGACACAAGTGTGGAGTTATTTTGCACACTTTTGTGGAAATTAACTTTTTCTAACTCGACCTCTGCACAGAAGTATGGAGTTATTTGCACAAAATTGTACAAAATAACTCCACACTTGTGTCTAGGAGTGATAGCTACACACCGGTGTGGAGGAAAATTCCACACTTTCCGCGAGTATGTGCTGAAAAAAGTAATAAAGTATTGTAACAAAGTAAATGTAATTATACTCCAACCCAATTTTAGGTTACACCCCGAACCTTATTTTTATGCATTTGTTTTTAATATACCTAGTTTTAGCCGTATTTTACAAACAATTAATAACTTTTGTTGAAAAAAGTTGAAAGGGCTTTAAAAACATTAGAAAATAAGCTTTTGCGTTTTTATTAAATAAAAATTTTGATAAAAAAACCTAAAAGCTTATTTTCTCAGTTTCAAAAAAGGTGTATTTACACAGAATATGCTTTTGACAAAAAGTAATAATTTTGAATGTGCGTTCAAAATGAATACCTATACTGTTAAATTGTTCAAAATAAAAAATCAGCTAAATTGTTCACACACTGGGTATGTGAACAAATTTTATTCAGTATATAAGTGTATTTACTATGCATAAATATCCATACGGTTACTTACAATCATGGTTTGACATTTCCCATATTTGCAATGGAATAAAACTGTACCAACTGTACATTAAGTACCGTATTCAGAGTTTTGTGTGCAAGCCTGGTTTTCTCTTCTCAAACAGGCTTTAATTGAACGTGCCTAACAACGCTAATATAGTTTATTTAAACATTTACTATTACATTTACCATTAAATTTACCATTACATTTACCATTACATTTATCATTACATTTACCATTACATTTACAAACATTTACCACTACATTTACACTACATTACATTTACACTACATTGAAAGCATTTACCATTGCATTTACCATCAAAAGTTAAAAATATTCGACTTGAATACACTTGTATAACGCAGTGACCTTATACTGCAATACAAAACTGTCATTTATATTAGATTGAATTTTATACTCTAAAACTACAGCCTTTTTCATCACACCCCAACTAATCAAAGGTTATCCAGAGCGTAAGCACTTTTTTACGAATCGTGTTGCAAACCATAGGAATAAACTAGAGCAAGATGTAATTTATGAGCCTACAGTAAACTCTTTTAAACAGAATATTTACGATGTAACTTTGTCTGCAACAATGTCAATTGTCAGCATATGAAAGCCTTGCGTTGCTTTCTTTTATCAATTTTAAATTTTTAATGAAAAAAGTTTCATTGTTTATTATAACAAATAAATAAAAATCTAGGATATTTTTGTTTTCAGCAACAATCCTGCTAGAAGATCATGCTTTAAAAACTTTCGGAAACCAGAAGCTCAGTTCAGATTGCCACTATAAACTAATAGCAAAACGACCTAGGGAAAATACTGCTGCTCGAAAGCCGCTTTAGCTTCTATCAAAATATCGACCCATGATTCGTCTTAGCTATGAAACAAATTTTGGTAATGCGAATCATGATAACAAAATTGCGATGAGTCTGGAATAGCAGTTTTTTCCGTGAGTTGCCTAATCATAAGCTTGAAGCGAATATCTTTAATGTTGCGCTTTTATCATTTTATTCAACAAAATCAAATTAAAATTGAGATTGCAAAAACTGTTTCTTTAAGATTCTCATCAATTTGATTGAAAAATTGGAAACCGGCGAAATAGAAGACAACTTTACAGAAGATATTTAACAACTTAATTCACTTCTGGAAACACTTTAGTTTCTCTCAACTAAATATACTCAAAGATTTAAAAATATAGAATAAAAATATGGATGTAAAATAACGGTATTAGAAATTAAAACACAGTCATTAATTTAAAAGTATGCATGCTTAAAGGGGCATCTAACTGCTGCTATACCCCGGGCGTCACGAAAGTTTTCGGCGGCCCTGAATTTAGTTCTCATCGAATTATTAAAGTTAGTAAATTTTTAAGTTAATTATTACTCGATCAACCAGAAGTTCATACAGTCATAACTTCTCACAAAAATAAAAGAAATTTAAATAAATGTTATAAACCTAAACAATAGTTTCATAATATTTTTAAATATATTAAAATTAAATTGTATTCTGTCTTGCGTGATAATTCATTTAAATTTAAAAAAGAGCGCTCAAAAAGATATTTTCAGCCAATTAACGACAACAGTATTATGCATATTTAATTTATTTTGTGTTAAAACTTATCATAATTAAATATATATTTTTTTGTTTATTATTTTTCAATATATGTTTATTTAATTCGTGTTTTTATTTATGTTTACATTTTATTTAGGTTGTCAGAAATACAAATTTATACAAATAGGATACAATAGAAATATACTAAGAGTTAACTAATTACAACGGAAAACACAAAGACATTTTCCGTTAACTTTCAAAAATGACCAATTAAAATTTTGTTCGTTAAAAATCTGCCAATCAAAAATAATGTTTTAAAAAAGGAGGTTCCCTTTTCTTGGTCCATTGAAAAACTTTAGAATGTTCTCCTTTAGTCCATTGTAACGCTACTGAAAGCTTTAGCACAAAGCAAGGCACTTTCTATATACCTTTTCTACGCAATTTTTTTACATTGCACGTTTTAAAATAGCATTATTAGTTTTATGTTTGTCTTTTATTCTGGTTAATTTACAGTACTTTAAGAGATTTGCAATATGGTCAAAAGTAAGATTTTTTTTTTATTTGCAATGCTCTAACCAAGCTATGTACTAAATTCAATAAAAAAGCTTAACACATAATTAGCAAAAATGAAAATGCAATAAAATGAGTACAATGCAAAATAAAATAAGGAAGATGTTGTTTGTGTTTTTATTCTAGAAGTAAGATTTTTTAGTAAATTATTTTTATTTTTTTATTAACCTAGTACTACTAAGTACTAGTTGTAGGCTAGTCACTTATAAAATATTTTTTATTGTTTTCCTGGCAGAACAAAAACAAGATTTGAGTTCAGAGTTTTACAAATAAGTATTTGTTGTTGATTATTTGATTTAAGTTTAATTTGATTTATGAATGAGTTTGAACAATGAATTAAGTTTTTTGAAATGTCACTAAATTATGATAGTAAGTATAAATGCATGTATAATTAGTATAAAGTGTAATTAAATATAAAAACTTAAAATTATTCTTTTTTTTTTGTCTGAAACAATAGTTGACTTAATAATCAGCAAGTAATCTGTTAAGTTTATGTGTCACCCCAATATTTTATGTTTATTTTATATTTAAAAAAATATATTTTTAATTAAATTATCTTAGTAGAAAATGTGCATAGATTTGCACAAATTAGCATTTGAATGTGCTGCATGAATTTTTATAAGGCTAACAGTTTTACTCAGGCACTTTCATGTAATAAAACTAATGCCCATTTAGCATTGATAAAATTTTGATGTCTAGTAAACTAGAAAATCTAGTAAGGAATAAAAGATGCTTAAGCTTTTATTCTTAAAAAAAACAATTTTAGGAATAAATTTTGATTATAAGGTCAAACTGGTCCTTTGAAAAAAAAAGGTTTTTGTGCAGTTTAGGCTTTCTAATTATGATAAAAGCAACTCACCAAGAAGATGGAAAACTTTAGCAAATAAATTTAGTGGACCAACAGAGTTGATAACATGTAGTGAAGTGTAATTAGTTATTTGGAGAATTCAGACATTGCAGTAGATTCTTCTAGTGGATTGGCTGAGATATTGAAGGTTTCAAGAGATGTGGGTGTTAGATCTTTGCAATGCAATATAAAAGTAAAATTGCAACAAACATGCAATTTATTGTTCAAAAGAGATTTTTAATAAAGAAAAAAAGATATGTGGATGGTAATTGTGGACCTTGAAAAGGTTTTGCCCAGAGCACTTAAAGATGTAGTGAGTTTCATTTAAGGTATTAAGGTGTTTAAGAATGGTTGGTAGCAGTTAAATGGCTGCTGACAGAGAGTGATAGTAAAGTACTTTTAAAGTATGTATTGCTTTTCTTGATTTGTTTTTAAAGGAGCTATTTTATGCAGATGGTTTATATTCAGATGCAGTGACAGAAAAGTTAATAATAAGATTTCAGCTATGATGTAATGGAAGAAACAGAGCTTTACATAAAAATGAAAAACACAAAAGTTGTCAATTGTAAAGTCAAAAATAACCAAGTAAAAAACTGAAAAGAGGCCATGTAAAGTGTATAAGAAAGAAGTAAAAGCAAAATCTACTTTGCAGTGGAATACAAAATTCTCCTAATATTGCTACTTTTGAGTGTAAAAAGTGTACTTTTGGTAAATAAAATTAAAAAAAGCATGTGTAAAGGTAAAGTGCTGTGGTAGAATTACTTCCACTTGTAAAATCAAGAGATAAGTTGCTTAAGGAGGAAAGTTATACACCATATTTAGAACGTTATGATGAATGACAGTGCAACATTGCTAATAAAGGTTTATGATGTCCAGCATTTGGGAAGAACAGAGATAATGAGATATAAAGTAGTGTGGCTCTAAAATATAAGAATGAAGTTATAATCTTTTTTTTTCAAACCAAGGTTGTTTGAAAAAAAAAGATATCTACTTAAAAAAATATTTGTGTTTTTTATTTTTAACTTACCATGAAGTAATTGAAGAGCAATTGCTAAATTAATTATTAAAACTAATTATTTTGAACACTGAAATAATTTAAGAATTAATTATTAAAAACTAATTTTTAAATTATTTCAGTGTTCAAAATAAATATTCAAATAAAAAAAATAAAAAAAAAAACAAGCCTTTAGTTTTTTGGAGAATGAAAAAAAATACATAATCCAATTTGTGAGGCTGACTGGCATTTTATTAGATCTTTGTATTTTAGTCTAACCTATGCCTCTAAAAGCAAAGCGCTTAACTTTTTCCTTCATGTAGTGACATTGTTTAATAAGATTCGTGTTTCAGAATTTAGGGTTTGAAATAAGTTTCAAATATAATATGTTAAAAGAAAAAAGTTCCTGTTCTGCAATTAGCAATGTTAACTGAGTTTACCAATTTAATCTTTAGGTTGTTGTTTTTTTTTTCTCTTTTTTTTTCTCTTTTTTTTTTTCTCTTTTTTTAAATAAATACAAAAAAAAGCTTTAACTTTGAGTCTTTAAATTAAAAAGATTTTTAGCCTTTATAATTTTTATTTAAATTAATATTAAATAAAAATTATAAAGGCTAAAATAATATTAAATAAAAATAATGATAGGTTAGTTTAGTTAATTGTTCATATTGTAAAAATAAAATAAATTTAGTTAAAGTTTGTGATAATTTTAATTTATATTTTATATTTATAGCTCAGAGTTGTTTACGTAATAAAAGTTATCGATATGCTTCAGCACCAAGAATGATTACAAGAAGGAGAACTTCTCTACCAAAAAAAGTGCATTTCTTGCAATTGCAAGATATAAAAAGGACAACAAATGTTTTGCGCTCATCTGCTATTCGAAGTTTGTTTATGCAAGCAAAATCTTTTGACGAACTTCCTCACGAAGTTGTTACACTAATTCTCACTTATTTTAATGCAAAAGATCTGATCATGCTTAGATGTGTAAGTCATTTTTGTTTATTATTTTTTTTTACTAAAAATGTTGTGCACAGTACTACCAGAGGAATGTACTTCTTGCTTACAAGGCAAGTGCTGCACCACTATGGAATCTTGTTTTGTTACTATTCCCACTATAAAGCTATAATAAGTAAGATTTTAAAAAGTTTGTGATCACCACACAGTGTAAATCTGTAAAAAGTAACTTTGTGATCAGTAATTAGTAATAATCATATCATAAGTATGCACATGTTAAATAAAAAAATTTAACAAAGCAATATTGTATAGGAACCTGATTATATTACTTATTGTTATATTATTTACGTTTTTAGCTTAGCAAGACTAAAAATGTAAATTTATCTGCATTTTAAAACATGTTTAAGCATATCTTATATGTAATGTTTGAAAATGGTAGTCTTTTTGGTCTAAAAACTTACCTCAAAAAAATTTATTATTAATTATTGCTGAAACTGCTTGTTTTTAAATTTAAAAAAAATCTATACTTTTTTATATTTACTTATAAAGAAAAAATGCTGAAACAGTAATTGTTGTTAATTTTATTTCATCAAAACTTAATACTGATATAAAAAAAATAATAGTAAAAAAATATTATAAATTTTTTTTTTTTTAGATAAATAGAAGATTTAAAGAACTTATTGATGGCAATTCTACTATTTGGTCGCAAGTGAGTTATCAAGGTCTATGGCCTACATCAGCTCAAGAAGAAAGTTTATTTCATAGGTAAATGCATACATTTTATATCAATAATATAATTAAAACCAAAAAGATATTCTAAAGAAATTTAAAGAAAAGAAATTTAGCATTTATATTTTATTTAACAAAAAAAATATATATAAATAATTATATAACATATATAATTATTTATATTTTTATTGAGGGTTAACAATATATATATATATATATATATATATATATATATATATATATATATATATATATATATATATATATATATATATATATATATATATATATATATATATATATATATAGATATAGATATAGATATAGATATAGATATAGATATAGATATAGATAGATAGATAGATAGATATAGATAAATATAGATATATATATATATATATATATATATATATATATATATATATATATATATATATATATATATATATATATATATATATATATATATATATATATATATATATATATATATATATATATATATATATATAGATACATACATACATACATACATACATACATACATACATACATACATACATACATACATACATACATACATACATACATACACATGCAATAAATCTATAATTATAACAAATAAAAAAATAATTATAACAAAAGTAATAAAGCTATAACTACTACAGAATCTTCATTATTGTTGTGGTATTAATAAACATAATGAAACAATAATAACAGGTAGAATTAATGTTAGTCAGATACATACTCAAATAAAAAAAAGTTTCTTTGAGAGGAACCGAGTAACTAACAACTTTAGTATTTAGTCAATATATAATATTGCTATTACTATTTTATATATATATATATATATTAGGTATTTTTGTTTAACTTATTTTATCATAATTATATTTAGAATAGTATACTTTTAAATTTGAAGTGCAATAAAATTGTTTAAGCAAATATTTAATCAGCATTTTTGAATTATATAGGGGAGCATCATGTAGTAACATCGAGTGTTTGGTGAAGCTTGGTTTGTCACATCTATATCACTATAATCTAATAAGTATGTTCATTTTTGTCCCCCTAATTAAACATTTTTGATATAACAACAAATAGAATTTTGACACATTTTGGCTACAGGGAAACTCTTCTGAGAGATTTGTATTTTAATTTATATTGTTGTACATATATAGAGAATGACAAGTATCTTTGTGTGGTAAGATTTTTTATCATAAGAGACTTTTAAAGTAAAAATCTTTTATGATTATGCTTTTGCTACTTTAAGTTTTAATTTAAGGAATTTTAAATTTTACCTAAATGTTAAAACCATTACATTATTTTGTTTATTTTTAATTTGCAAACTGTCTATAGCATTTTGTTAACAAAATAATTTGTTCAGGTTAGTTAATTTTTGTGTGTGATCTTTCTGTCAGGAAAATATATTAATGGTAAAAAGTAAAAAATTTTATGTTTATATTTATTTTATAACTTATAAAATTTTGTAACAGGTGGCTCAGAAAAGAATGAAAAATTAGTTAAACACAATGCAAATCTAGCAGCAGCTTATTTTTGTCAGCTTGACACATGCATTGCTCCTAAAAAACCGATCACCTGGATGTTGATTCGTCCTCCTTGGTCAAACCGATCAGTTTGTTTAAAGCAAGCAATTCAAAGCCAAATGCTTGAAATGACTTCACTCTCAACAAATGGTGCCATTTGCTATAATATTGGTCGTGTTCTGGCTTTAGAATCAGATATTCATTCAAAAGATGTTTCTAAGAACTTTCATATGTCATCTTTAGATGGTTGCTCGCATGGAGCTTTTCAAGAACTCTTAGTGCAAAATACATCTGATTGTGATTCAGGCAGAAAACTTCAATGGTTTCGAGATTTAAAAAAATGTGTTCAAATGAAGAACCAAGAAGCTTTGTTTATGCTTGCCAATTTTTATATTGTTAATAGACAAAAACAATGTCTTAAAGAAGAAGAAGCAACTAGCTTTTGTGAAAATTTGTTTTCAAAAAATACTTGCATACGATATGATAAGCTAGAAACTTTTCAACCTAAAATTAACAGTCTCATGCGTTGCATTTTGGTTGACTGGCTTGCTGAGGTAGCGTATATGAAAGATATGAGTCATCAGGTTATTCATGCAGCTGTGCAATATGTTGATCGCTATTTAACTACACGTGTTATTGAGCGGACTAAATTACAACTACTTGGAATCACTTGTTTACTTCTTGCTGCCAAGTAACTTGAATTTAATTTTTTAGTTTTACTATATATTTTCCCTATTATGATTGTTTGTTCTTTATTGTTTTTATTATTAATTATTATTTTATTATTATTATTACTATTATTGTTATTATTAATTTTTATTATTAACTATAAATTTTCTTCTAAAGATCACATTATGATCCTCGCCCCCAATTACATATACTAACTGTTAGAGAATCATCCTGGCTTACAGATCAAACTTACCAATATGAAGATGTTGTAAGGTTTGTGATATTTTATTTATTTTTAGCAGTTAGTTATTATCTGGTCAATGTTAAATTTGACTTTTTAACCAAAAATGTGTGTATGTACATACAAAATAAGTAATAATTGTAATTCAATAATACAATTGAACTAAAAGTACTGCAGGTTGTAAACATTTTTTTTTTTTTTTTTTTTTCATTTTTTTATTTCTTAAATAAGGTAATTAGTATACCCTTATTTAAATATTTAAAATCGTTTATTTTTAAATTTTTTAAAATAAAGTCATAAATTTTTGTGTTTAAATTTTATAATAAAATTAATTCTTATATTTTATTTGATAAAATTTATTGATTAAATTTAAATATATATATATTTTTTTTTGCATGAAAGCCTTATTTTAGTCAAACATTTTTTAGATAAAACCAATTTCATTTAAATTTGTTTAATCTAGTTAGAATAGAAGATAGTAAAGTTTTAAATAGTTTTAGCAGTTTTACAGCAATCTAAGAGTTGCCTTGTTTCAGAACTTTGAATGCACTTCTAAACTTGTAAATATACTTAGCTTGATTTGCAATTCTTGTCAATCTAATATGATTAACCAAAATTGATTTTAGAAGATCAAAATTTCATTTTTTTTTTTTTTTTTTTTAAATAATTAACAGTTTATTGATCGTTAACCAGTTGTTATTTGGAATAGTTATCACATGTTATTGTATATGTAGTTAAAACTAGTTAGATTTATTATATGTTAAAAAATGATTTTTCTGATAATTAAAAAGTAATTTCATCGATTATTTATTTTCTTAACTGAGTTACTTTTTCAATTTTTTTTTTTAAGAATGATGGGTGAAATCATAGCTACTTTTAAAGGTGATCTTTGGATGCCATCATCTTGGGACTATTTGAACCTATTACAATCATTTGAAGAAGTAAGTATTAATTTTGATTAATAATGTTTAGCAATTGTGTTTCTGCTTTAAGATGTACTTTTGATCAATGATATTTAGCAATTGTGTTTTTACTTCTAAGATGTACTTTTTTAAATCTTAAGTTATTCTTTGTGTTATTTTTGAAATTGCTTAATTTAAGATAAATGAAAAATGGAAATTATTTCTCATTTCTTAAAAACTTGAATGAAAATGTTATCAGTGTCATTTTAAGAAACTGAATCTCAAATTTTTTAAAAACAAAGCATTTTTTAAAATTCAACTCAACTTTAAATAATTTGGGCTGTATATATATATATATATATATATATATATATATATATATATATATATATATATATATATATATATATATATATATATATATATATATATATTGTATAAATAAAAATTGTATTATTACTATAATGCAAAGAAATGAAATTAGAGAAAAGATTTTGCAACAATCTAATGAAATAAAAAAACTAATCAATATTAAAAAGGAAAATGTTTTATGCATGTTTTAAAATTTCATTTTAATCATTTCAAAAACAATTTAAATAAAATACTCAAGTTTACTTCTTTATTTTGTTTCAATAATAGATAATTACAAAATTTATTTTTAATTTTTTCTTAATATATAATTTTTGCATCTCTGCAAACATCATTTGCTTTATTTTTGGGTTATTTTTTGTCATGATATTTCCACAATTCTGGATATTTCTTTAAAATTTTTCTGGATATCTAAATACTGGAAATTCTGGAAATACATAGTACAAATTTTTTTTTTTTTTTTTTTTTTTTTTTTGTAATTTTGCCATTAATTAAATTATTAAGGTTCATCAATTACTTAAAGGTATATTTAGCTAGTGTTTTTATATAATATAATAAATTACCAAAACGACAACAAAAGAAAACAATATTTTTTGTAAAGTATTGAAAGAAAGGCCTAAATTATGAGATAAATTAATAGAAGGTTGTAAGACTGATTTTTTTGTCCGTAGTAGGGGTAGTACTAATGTTTGTAATTACCACACCCACTATGGGATTGCGTTTGTTGGCACAATACACGGATTTTAGTCTCAAATAAAATTCAAGGAATAAATTTCCGTATAAAATCTTTTCATTTTACTTTTTCTAATTAAAACAAATTAATTTTTACCCTCTTTACTAACACTTTTGAAATAGTTTTTTTTTTTTTTTTTCTTTTCTTATTTAATACTTAAAATTCAATGAAATTCAAAGTTAAAAGAAAACGAGCAAGTACATGTGATTTTTTTGCTATATTTGATTTTTTTTTCAAAGCAGCATTTTTTATATTTAACACTTTTTTTTAGGTTAGCCTTCAAACAAAACATCTATCACATTATTTACATGATCTTTCTATGTTATTTACTTGTTTTGGAAGGTTAATTGACAAAATTTTCTTTTTAGTTATTTATACTTTAACACTGTTTTAATATTATTGTTATTTTTTTTTTTTTTAGTTTTAAACCATCTATGTTGGCAGCTTCCTGTATTTTTCTTGCAGGAATTATCTTAAATAATGGTATTATGTTCTAATATTCTAAACTCTTAGTTTTCTTTAAAATTCTAAGGTTCTAAACTTGTTTGATGAATGAATTTTTTTGCTAACTTGAATTGGTTTAGAATGTCCATGGTTAAATTGTTTTGAAGAGTATACTGGCTTTGTTGTAAAAGATGTTGCAAATTGTGCTTCTCTTCTTTACTATAAATGGTATGAGCTTTGATTAAATTTTTAAATTTATTTCCAGATTTTTTAAAATTGAACAAAGTTTTTAAATTTCATCATTTAAAATTCAGAGATACTTATTAGTCCTGATATTTTGATTCAAATTTTTGTTGTGGTAAATTCAAACTTATATTTTTAATTATTTGTTTTATGTATAGTTTTAGGTTGTATTTAGATATTTATTTTTAAATATTTTTTTTGTTATTAAATACAAGCTGATGTTAGATATTTATTTATGATTTAGATATTTATTTTTAGATTTTTTTTTGTTATTAAATACAAGCTGATGTTGTAAAATCATTCAAGTTCTACTAGTTATATGCTTGAATTATTGTGATGAAAAGATAATTTTTGCAAAATATGTCAATACATCTGTAAGTTTTAAGTCAGGACATTTTTTATAATTATTTAAAAAAAGATCTTTTTATTATTATTTTAGTATTCTATGTCCTTCAATAAAAGATGATCGTGATCTACCTTTAAAGAGCATTAAAGATGAATACTGTTCAGAGAAATATGATTGCATTGCTAAAATTGTTGTTGCTCAGCCTTGTGAAATTAAACATAGAATTTTAGCTGCAGACAGTAATTTAACATGTATTTCACAAGATCCTTTTCAATTTGATATTATATCTATGGACGAGACTCTAAATTTAAGTATCAAGAGTATTGATTATGATGGTGATTGTGATGAAGACAGTGATGCATTTTCGGAATCATTTGAAGAAACGTTTTGTGTTGGTCGAACAAAGTCATTGTCTTTTGTAGAGGAGTTCTCTGATGATGAGACTATGGATGCAGATACTAAAATCTTCAACAAGTCTATGGTAGAATACAAAAGCTACACTCCAATATATAATAACGCTTCTAGTAGATATACTCGCATAGAAAAAAAGTGGCTTAGCGAAGGTACTTTTAATGACCACATGAAAAGTAGTGAGGAAAGTGATATTTTAACTTTTTTTGATGAAAATAACATAGACAAACCACCCACTAATGTCAAGTGCTTTGTTTCTGCTTCTAGAAAACGTTCTAATAAAAGAAAGACTGTGTCTCTTACAACTGATCCTATTGGCAAGCGGACGCGTTCTAGTCGCTTCCGCAAAAATTAATTTGTTTTAATTAGAAAAAGTAAAATGAAAAGATTTTATACGGAAATTTATTCCTTGAATTTTATTTGAAAATTTTAGAAGTTCAAAATCATTTTTATATTCATATGTACAACATATTTTCTCAGGTTTTCAAATTGTTTTAAACATACTTTATAGAGAGATTTCTTCATATGTATTATATTGTTGTATATATTATATTATATTAGCTCTTCTATACACATATATTTATAGTAAAAGTACATTTTTTATTTCAGCTATATTTGTTAGACAAATTTTCTTAGTGTTTTAAAGAATTTTTGTCTCGTCTGCTTTTGTTTAATATTTGTAAAAATTTTTGTTTTGTATTTTATTTCATTCATTGTTTGTTTTTGTTTGTTTTTTTCATATTTTCATTTTGAACATTTTTACTTTTTTAAATGTAGGCAAACGATTAGACTTATTAGGTATTTAAAAGTAATTGCAATTTCTTATAAACAGTTCATGGTATTTTTTATAAATCGGATTAGGATTCTTTTTCATTATTTTTTTCTTTTTTCATCCTAACCCATATAGGCTATTTCCTTTTGAGTATTTTATATTGGTTTATTCCTTTTATCGATTTATAGATATAAATATCGGTTTTAAAAAGTTTTTTTCTTCTAAAATGTTTTTTCTTAATTGTTTAATCGTTTCTTATCTAAGTTTAGACGTGTGCGTGTTTTTTTTTTTTTTGTCACGATTAGGAAGTTTTAATCTCATGTCATTTTTGTTGTTTAGTTCATGATTAAAAAAGCTGTTACTTTTACTTGTATAGTTTGATGCAATTGTTATTTTATTTGATTTAAATTATTTATGGAGAAATAAATTGTTTTTAAAATAAAAATATTGATTTCGCAATTACCGTATAACGATGTTGTTTACAATAATAACGAGGTTGTTTTGCAATGAAAACGAAGCAAAATACTTCTTTGATTCTTCTTCTTTAAGTCGATAAGTAACAAGATATTTTCTTTTAATGTTTATTTTACTTTAAAAATAAGTATATATCTTACTACACAGTAGTCAGAAGTCGATTTATTGCATAATATTTGTATCAACTAAAAAAACTAACTCTGTAGTAAGATGATTTCATCCATTAATCTTTGTGGAGTGAGAAAAAACAATTATGCAAAAACTTTAGACTTTTCGTGGTATTTGATTAATTTTATATATCATTAAGTTAAAAATATATAAGTATAATGCAGAAGATTGATTTTTATCATAAAGCAGTTTAAAAATTTATCAAAAATATGTTTCTTGGATTTTACCGGAAAATCCCCCTCTTAAAAATGAAAAAAAAAAAATAATAATCGTTTTTAATTAATTTATACTTTTAACCCAATTCAGTAAAAAAAAATATTTAGAAATGGAATAACCTTCAAGTTGTTTAAAATTTGCTCAGACAAGAGTCTGGTCTAAGATGTTACTCAAACAAGAGTTTGGTCAAGGGTGCGGCGCCTAAACTAAACTAAAAATGCAAATCATTGATATGAAGATGGTGCCATTCAAACGGAAATCTGATCGTTGGATTAATACCAAGCTAATAATAGAATAAAAATATTGTGAAAGGAAAGAAGACAAAGATAAGCTATTTGAAGGCATCAGTTTATAGTCTCCGTTCCGTTCTGTAACTTATCACAAAATCGTTTAGTAAAATAAATATTTCGAATTCAGTTAGTGATAAATTTTAGCGTTAAAAAAATTTTCTATCAAAGATTTTATATCAAAGTGATATCAATATTTCATACTCTGCTTCTCAAATTTTCTCTCAAATCTCAAATTATAGAAATGTTTACTTTTCTAAACAATTTTGAGATAATTTGCGGAACGGAACTGAGACTATAATCCGGCTATTGTGCCAACAAACGCAAAATGCGGATACATACTGCTCGGGTACTGTCGTTGACTGTCGTAATTGCGCAACTTTTTTAGATTTTACTTTTCTATAACGGAATCACTAGTTTTCAAAAATTTGTTTTATTTAACGTAACGTAATTACTTGTTTTCAAAATATTGAAAGCAAGTTTCAAATTATACGTTTTAAACCTAAAGCTTTCCGTTTTCCTAAATGCAAACGTTTTTTATTATCATAAGATACTATCGCCCTTGTTGAGTAAAAACACGTCAAATGAAACCAAAATGCTTTTAAACCAATAGAATGAACGAACAGAAGAATAGAATGAACTCATTCTATTATTTTAAGGTCATAAAATGAATCATCATAGAAAATACTAAGCTACGTAGACAACAACATAGAAACTTTGACGGAATGCTTAAGGTTCTGCAATTAATTATAACTCGCTAGTAAAACGTTCTAAAAAGTTAATTATTATTTAGTAAGCAGGGCTGTGGAGTCGGAGTTGCAGAGTTGCGACAATTTTAGCGGAGTCAGAGTCGCTTAAAAATATCGCGGCTCCGACTCCGATAGTAATATTTCTTGGTATTGTACGTGTATGTACAAAACATTCAATTAACCACCTTATGTTCATACTAAACTTCAAAGAACGTTGCATAAATTTGTCAAAAAAAAAATTTCAACTTATCGCGCAATATTTTTTAAAGAATTCAAAGAATTTTTCAAAAATTTTGCTTTGGAGTTGGAGTCGGTGTTGTACACAAAAAATTTCAACAACTGGAGTCGGAGTCGTTACTTTTTTTTTTACGACTCCACACCCCTGTTAGTAAGTCTAATATTTTGGTAAATAAAATGTAATTATGCTCAATTTATAGTAATAATTTAAAAAAACAATTTCGTTTTTTTAACTAATTAACTTTAAAAAATGAAAGAAGCGTACATTAAACTTGAAGTCAAAACTGCAACCTGAAATGAGAGTACGCATAGTTTAGACTTAAATTCAAGCTATACTTAGTCGGAAAATTTGACCGGTTTTCATGATCGACGTGAAAAGCAAATTAAGAAAGCAAAAGTAATTTTTAAATACGAGTAATAAACACGAACTTTCAAGTTATATTTCATTTAAAGTTTGACTAAAGTGTAAAGCTAGAAGCAAATTAGACCTGAACTTGCACTTAAAAAAACCGTTTTTTAAGTTGGTACGAACCAATCTTAAAATCAAACTAGAAATTAGAAAAACAAATTGTTTTGAAAATACGCAGTAAAAAATTAAAGAATGTTTTATTTTGGAATTGTTTGTCAACATATTTATTTGATAAATAAGTTATATATTATAATGTTAGGTACGCAATCTGAATCTTTTAAATTGATATTATTAATAAAAAAGCCCTTCGATAGATTTTTACGATTATATACTTTAAAATAAAAATTGAACAATATATATTAAAGGAATGTTACTTTCATAACTAGTTGCTTATCAAAGCAATCGAAAAAACATTTGGTTATTAAATCAACTGGCCCATACAGTAAGCTATTATTTTCTACTCCTGATGGTTCGAAGTATTTGCTTTTTTAGATCTTTGATTAAATATTTGATTTTGCAGAAGATTTTTTGCAAAAAAAGGCTAGGCAGAATCATTATAAATTTGAGCGAGCGAATTATAATTAATAGTCAAGTTAGTATCAAACAAAATTTAGAGCAATATATAAATGCATTCATATAAGATTTAATATAATAGACACGTATGTGTCGAAATAATACATTTGAATTGTTTTACTTCAGCTAATAATAAAAGCAGTTTCAGGCCTCCCAATAGTTGCGCGTTTCTAAACAGACCGTAGAAAATGCATCGTGACTTTATTTACTCTTTGTTTATTTTCTAAGTGATCTCAATTTTTGCTATTTGTGATTTCAATCTTTGATAACCTCCACTACTGTAAAGTAATTAATTTATTTGTTCAATTAAGATGTTTAACTAACTTGTGTAGTTAACTTTAAATAAGATGATTGTTTTTGCATTTTGATTTTTTATATAAAATTAATTTTAGAATAAGTATAATGATAAAAAAGTTATTTATGTTATAATCAATACATAGGTTGCTTGAAATAAAGATAGGGCTTAAAAATTAAAGTTACTTTCTACACCAGCATTCTATGACTAATCAATGTGCATGCGAACATACTCTATAACCTTGTAACACATCCAGAATTTCTTTTTTGTTGTTGTTTATCAAAAAACTCTTCCTAACTCCAAAAAATGCAACAAAAAAAAACTATTTTTACCGGGGGCTTTGGAAGAAACCTTAGGCAAGTGCCCATTAATCCCGTTAGCCTGGCCTGGTCAGTTTCACTGTCAGTTACCGCATACATCTCTTGATCTTCATTTAAATGATTATGAGTCCGCTTATTTTTTCTTTAAGCAGCTTTTTTTACTCTCTTCTTTTTTCGTCCTTTTGCGCCTGATAGCTGCTTCCGTTTGGTTGAAGAGTTGGTTGTAGATTGATTGGTTTTCATTTTATATTTAAAGCACAAAACTATAGAAAAGAGTTCTATTTATGTAGTATAATAATCGTTGTAGAAGTTTCTACATAAAAAATTCTCTTCCAAAAATAATTTGTAAAGTTCATTTTAATTAACTCTTAACGATTAACGATTGCACCATATCAAAATATTCTTTCGACAATTATTTGTAAAACTCTCTTTGACAATCAATAAAATTGCAAAACTATTCCCTTGAAGATTAATTCTGCACGAGGAATTCTTGCACGAATGGAATGAAATCTATAGCGTTAAACTTAGTTTAAAATTATATAATTAGTTGTAATAATTTATTAAATATACGGAAAAAAAAAGTTAAAAAACATATTTAAAAAAGTTAAAAAAATGTTTTTTTTTTGCTATTGTTCACGCAACGTTACATGTAGTTTGTAGTTTTCTCGCATGGTTTGAAGAGCCATTCAGCGGACATATCACAGAACGTAAACACTGATATGATTTCTGTAGGAAAGAGAAAACACGTGGTCTATTAATAGAGAGTCATCTACCGTAAAAATGGTCTTAGGAATCAGTAATCGCTTTAATCAGATTGAATTCAAACAAAATCAAAAATCGGAATATAATAACAAAGTAAACGTTTTTCATTTCTTTATTGGGTGTTTTCAATTTTTTATTTGGAATACTGATATTTTTTTTTCATCTGACAATGCCCCCATAAACGTGATGCCTGGGGGTAACCGACCCGGATCCCCTACCCTCTATGCGCCCCTGGTGTCTAGCATGGTCGAACTTATCTTTATTAAAGACTATATTTGCGGCATGAATTTGATGTCGATAAAGTGCATATAAAACTTATCATACGTATGTTTGTATAAAAAGATATAAAGATGCTTCAAATTTTTTTGGGATAATATTGGTCTAACTTTGTAAAACATGCAAATGTTGTTTCTTGTTTCAGTATTTAAAAGGTTTACATATTCTCATCATAAAAACTTAGTTGCATTGGTTCTTTCCCAGCTTTTGCCGTTTTTACCGTATAAGCTCAACCCTAATTAAAGCACAAAATTGTTATACCCAATTTTTGAGGTTTATCACGGTTTTAAAATAGGTGGACATATCACTTTTATGCTTTGAAGTATTGAGACAGTCAATTTTACTTTTAAAGAATTTTTTTTCCCGCCAAGCTATTTAATCACTGTGAAGATCGAGGACGATTTCCCAAATTTGATTATGCGATAACTTTTTATTACAATTATGATTTTTATTACATTTAGCTTTTAAGTTTATTTTATTGTTATTTATTAAATCTTTGTTTTAATATCAAGTATTAAAATGTTGATTCATTTTTTTGCTTTAAAAGGAAAGAGCACTTTCAGCTCTAAACGTCACATTTAAAACTCCTTATTTTGCAGGGTTAGTTTGTTAAACTAATTAATAAAATAGTGGATTGAAACGCCCCAAAGGTGGAATTGAACCACTCCGACTCTCATCGGCTACGGGTTTGAAGCCCGCACTCCGGACCACCGAAGATCATCGAGGCGATTAATAAAGGTACTAAATTCTTATATATTGTCGCAATAAGATATAACTACATTGCTTGTGGTGTTACTTAAACTAACAAATTAAAAACGATTTCAATAGGTATCAATTTTATATAACTATCTTTATTGTAAATGACATTAACATTTATATTAACTTTTATAAATAAATTTTTTGATTGTTTTTTAATATCTAGTATGCATTTATTAGTATGAATAATCAAAGACGTATTAATAGATGGACGTTTAACGCATTGTAATAGATCTGAGGCGCCGCGAGTAAACAAAAACCTATGTGAGGTATAATTTTTAGCATCATTTTTCTGAATAATTTAAAAAAGTATACCGACGTTTTTCCGATATTTTCGCTGTTCTAACTACTTTTTTTAAAAAGTGCAATTACCTATAAAACTCTAACTTTTTTTTTAAATTAATGCATTTTAGTTAATCAGAAATAGTTCATCTGTTTTAAAATGTCAAATTTCATACGTGAGCACTTTTTAATAAGAACTTATCATTAATAAAACTTAGACATCAAAAATCATATTTTTTGTTAAAAAGTGATATGTAGTTTGCAAGAATGAAACTGCAAAGTGAAACGAATTTTCTAGATGTTGTAGGTAAAACTGTAGATCATTTATAGATCAAACTATAGATTACTTGTGGTCTCTATTCCCTACACTTAGTTTTCACTATTATTTTAAGTATTTAAATTTCTCATTTTTATCGGAAATTTTGTCTCACTTACAATTTTGTTTTGATCTTTTTCTGTGATTAACTTTTTTTTCCATGTAAAGATTTCGCTTGAGTTTATAGATGAAAAGGTTTTATTTATTTGAAAACGTTTTAGAGTATTTAGGTGTTACGAAATGTTTAAGTATTTTTTAAGCTAGGCGAGACTATCGCTATTTTGACGCAAAATCAAGTAGAAATATTCTCAAGTTGAAAATAGTTAACATCTGTTCTCTATTGTTTTGCTATTGTTATTTGTAACAATGAATAGCGCAGATGTCTTGCCTTTTAAAGAATACCTTAAATGTCCATCTTTTTATACGTCCTTGGTATAATATACCGTTACATCGCCGTTAAATCACGCTTAGAACTTACAAATGTTTTTTAATTTTTGTCTTTCTGAGTTATATAAACAACTATATCTTTAATTTATATCGTAGAAATAAATTTTTTTTAATTTACTCATTTTAAGGAAAAGATTACTTAATATTTAAAAATAAAAAAAATAAAAATTTAATATACTATTAAACTTCTAATATATATAATAAACTTAGTGACTAGTTAAATTTGATCATTTTATTTAATACTTATTATAGGTTTTAAGAGTATACATAATTTTAAAATTCTGGTTTTTTGTAAAATAATTATTTGAGCAGATTTCAAATATCCATTATTTGTTTTATGATTTTTATGAACGAAGTGATAAAAAATATTATTAGAGAAAAAAAAGTTTATAAAAATTGAAATACGATTATATTTTACTTAAATGACCGAAATTACACGGTGACTGAGCTTATGCGACTTAGCGGTAAAAGTTTTTTTATTATTATTCAAGCTTGCGCAAAACTTATTTCGCAAATTTTTGAAAAATTAGCAAAAATAAGTTGCTAAAGGTAATTGCCAGCAGTGTCGATGAATAATTTTAATTTAATTTACTGCATAGTAAAGCTGCTTCAACTGAAAGTTAACATAGCGTTGTGTGTATCAAATTATTACTTTGATTTTCAAGTGTACATTTTAAATATTAGTTTAAAGTGAACTAACTATCCTTTACTAATTAGTAAACGACATGAATAAAATTATTTTTATTCTGTTTTGTTAGAATATTGTGTGTTGGTGTGTGCTTACAAATAAAGAAGTTTTAAATTACTGTTTCTAAAACTTTCAGTCTAAAGGGAAAAAATAGTAATTTTAATATTAAGTTTAATAAATTTATGTTTATTAAATGATTACATTAGGCAGTTTTATGTTTATTAAAATATATTTGTAATTAAAGAATTAAATTCATAAAAAAAGTCTTAGGTTTGTTGTCCATTAATTAAATTTATTATTACCTTTTTTAATTTCAAAGTAAATGATTATGAAAAAATTTATACAAATGTAATTTTATCAATACAGTTTACAGTTACAGTTTTATAGTCAATAGTCTTTTTTAAAAACATTATTTAAAGATAATATAAAAAGTCTCTCTAATTTTTTTCTGAATCAATCGATTTTGGTTATTAGTTTTACATTAATTTAATTTAGATTTATGGAATATTATCTATATTTAGTTTGTTACACTTTTTTATTTAGTTAAAACGAATATACTCCAATAATTCTAGCTGAACAAAGCCAAAAAAACATCTAAATTGGTGTAAAGCTCATTGAGTTTTCTTGGAATATGATGATATGGAGTGTCGGGAAAAATTTGTTTGCCAAAAATTATTTTAAATGACATTATCACAACTCTATATGATGATTTGTCATCAAAAACCTCAAGAAATAATGCAATTTTGCCAGAAACAAAAGTGCAAAGACTTTTAGCAACAGGTAGTTTTCAAGGTGTAATTGGTAAGAAAAAAAGCAGTATGAAACTGGTTTCAAATTTATGTGTTTAATTATTATTATTATTTTTTTTGAATTGTAGTTTTTTTGATATTCTACAATTATTATTACAATTTCTTACTATTGAGCATTTATGATGTTGAAGGTAGTGTCTTTAAGATTTCAAAATTGATGTTGTGGGTAAAATTTATTAAATTCAAAATTTAAATTTTATGTATTATACTTTCAAAAGATTTTATTTATATGAATACCACACTTATAAAGTTTCTCTCTGACTTTCATCTAATTTTATATAATTGTAGGTGATTCCTCAGGAATTAGACAATCAAGTACTAGTCGGATACTTAGAGAGTTTTGTAATTATTTTATCCAACACTATTGCCACATTGTTAAGTGGTATAGTAGCAAAGAGGAAATGAGCGAGGTAAAAAGAAATTACATGCAATCTTAGGGCATTAAAGGGCTTTTTGGGCTTATTAATGGTACAATGGTACCTATTAAAGGAGTCACTGGAGCTGACGAGTTAGCTTATATTTTCAGGTAAAATTTCTCATTAAAATTAAATAATTCTTCTTATTTTCCTTATTGTACCTTAGATAAATAATCCGTAAGTAAAACAAAGAAAAAAGTTTGGTACAAATTCAAACATAATAGAAAAAAGTCCTCTCTTATGTTACAATTGTAAATAAAAATAAATTAATTATGAAGTATTAAGTTTAATTGATAAAACCACTTGGTGTAAACATACCTGCCAGGTATAATTTTGACCATTTTCTCAGAGCATATGAAGACTAATATTATGTAGGATATTATTAATTTTAGAATTCTTTTTTTCACAGTAACACAAAAATGCTTGAGGCTTCACATTTTGAAAACATTTCAACAACATGTTTTTTGTATTTTCTTTGTAAGCACTTTGAAAGCAGAACATTTACAAAAAGGTTTCCTTAACTGTTTATTATTTTAAATCATCCCCAAATTTTTTGAATATTTAGAGCTTTTTGTTATATATGTTTTTTAATTATATTTTGACTTATATCTTTCAGAAAAAGATATCCTTCTTTGAATTGTCAAGTTCTTGCTGATGCAGATGGCAATTTTAGAGATGTTTAAATTTTCACAGAATGTTTAGTTAATGTGTTATATATTATTTACCAAAATCGCGGTTGAATAAATATTTTTTGAGAAGTTATGATTCAAAAACTCAAAGAAACCATTTTTATTTAACAAAACCTGTTTTTACTACAAAAAAAAAAAAAATAATAATTTAATGTAGGTAAAAGATATTTTAATGATGATGGTACACGTTATTTTAATCATGATGGTACACGTTATTTTAATGATATTGGTACCCGTTATTTTAATGATGATGGTACACGTTATTTTAATGATGACGTTTTTAACCAATTAACAAGGAGTATTTGGGCCAAATTTAAAAGATAATTTTTGGGTTGTTTTTAAGTTATTAGGTTAAGAAGATATACCAAAATTTGCAATTTTTTATTTTTAAATCTTTCTTTGCAACAAAAATATTGTTATTTATTATTACATAATCACTGCCAGCCCTTATTTTATGATATATAATTTTAACATATATGTGTTATATTCTTTTTTATCTATTTGTTTTTTCTTTAATAAAATCTTTTTTTTCAAAATACTCTAACCTAATATTTAACATTATCTTTAAATATAAAATTTTATTTTAAACCTTATCAAGTCTTTGACATCTCTCCGCACAATGGCTCAAAAATAAAAAAAAAACAAAAAATACAAAAAAAAATATATAACCAAAAAACACAAAAAAATATAAAACTTAAAAATACAAAAAAAATATAAAATTCTAAAACACAAAAACAAAATGTATATAAATAAAAACAGTTGTAAACTTTCTATATTGTATATTCATTAAACATTTGTAAAACTTCTACATTGTAAAACCATAACTTTATGTTAACCTGAGGTAGTATAATTTTATAAAATTGTAAATAATTTATTGTTTTATAAAGAAAAAATAAAAAAATAAAAAAATAAAAATTAAATTTAAAAAGCGAGCATACTTAAAATTATACATTAAAGTTTATATTCATTAATTAGAAATTGTAATAATCTCTAATTTCAAATTGTTTGAATCCTTAGAAATCACTTAAATCTTCAGAAGTCTTATCTTTTAAAACATTAAATGTTGGACATTGAAAAAATAGGACTTGTTACTATTTGAGGTGAAACAATCAAGTTCTTTACAGGCAACTGGCTCATGATGAAGTAACAACTATTTTAAAAATTCTTTGCAGGCAGTTCTCTATAAGAATTTATAACAGGGCCAGATGTTATAGGAAGCCTAAAGCATATTTTGCTTATATGGATTTGTAGAAATACACAGCTGTTTTCTAGTATATATTTTCAAAATCACCTTAATCTTTATTTCGTACTTCTTGTGATTCTTACGAGAGTTAGTCAATTCAAAAAATACACGAAATTTTGTGCTCTGTATCAGAAATCTAGTACCACGAAAATAAATTTAGATACAAAGTTCTAGTTTCAGAACAAAATTTTTCAAATTCGATACAATCAATACCATTGCCAGAAGATAGCAATTTAACAATAACAATTATCTTGACATTTATCCTGTAATCTTCGCTCATTTATAGATTAAAAAACCGTGCTAGCTGTGTTGTCATTGTTTGTATTGCAATAACCAGGCTACGGTTTTTTCACAATAAGTCGCATTTGTCTTTTTAAATTTTCGCTTGATCTCTTCCAAACGTTGTTTGAAACTACATTTATCTTCATTGCTTCTAGCTTTGCCATTTTTTGTAGCAAGCCTTTAAAGGCACAAATCCAACATGTAAAGTAGACAAAAAATGGAAAAAAAAAAAGAAAATCACGAAACCGTAATTATCTTTTTTATCAACCATGCTTTTTTATTTCTCATTATTTTGTGAGTATAGGTACAGATATAACAAGAACGCATCTCAGTAAAAGCATTGCATACTTTTTTCTCAGTCATTGTGAGTAACAGATTGTTTTTCACAACAAATTTGATTCACCAACAATCCACAGTGTTAGAAGAAGTTCAAATTTTTTTTTCAAAACTGTTAGTTTTTTATAAATTTTTTGATGATGGTCGTGGGTTTTTCCAATCAATATTACGACAGTCATAAATTAGCCTGATGCCTGTATTTTCATTTGTTTTATAAATGGAACAAATGCAAATAAAAACAAAAATTCATCAGTAGCATCGGACTTCTCAAATCTTTATTTGTAGTTTTAGTGTACTTTTTTCGCGAATTAATTGTCACATTTTCTGTACTAAATTCTTTCAGAATTTTTTTTTCTACTAGTTATTTAGGTGCTCCAAGTATAGCTTTTAACAAAAAGTTCACGCCTGCTTTCTTACCAATGATGCATGTATAGCCAGAGCGAGCTTCGAAACACAGACTTTTATTTCTGAAGTCAGAATTAAATCCACCATCAGTACAAAATTTCTCATACGTTAATGTGAAATAGTGAGCCACAAGCAAAACAAACATGATAAATAATATGACACTTTTTTTAATATATCTTAACGTTTCGATCATATTCCTTGAAATAAAACGCCTTACTCACTGTCGTAAATTAAAGAGGTTGTTTATGGAGGCAGATTAATTAGCTATAAACCTTATCTCACTACAGTCAACTATAAAAATTAAACTAGGGCCCACCTTGTTAAACATTAATCTTTAAAAGTTTTACTAAATGTTTGATACTCAGTTTTTTTTACAGTCTTATCTGTGATAAGTCCTTACGGTCATATCACAGTTCACAGCGGAAGAGCATTTATAGGAAGTTTACGCTTTCCTCCCAACCGATGTCGTAAAGCTTTCCTAGAGATGGAGTTTGAACCACGGATCTTACGTTTCTGAGGTTAGTGCGCTACTACTGCGTCACGGCTGCTCTTAGTTTTTATTTAAAAATGTTTTTCTTGCTAACCGCAGCGCTACGACTGCTCATTTGAAGGTGATTTGATTTAAACCATTTGAAGTTGAACTAAATTATTTACATTACATTGTAGAAAAAAAAAAACAAAAACAAACAAAAAAAAGATATACATAAGTAAAGTTTTTGACAAGTTCCTCATTTTAAAAGTTAAATATAAGTTACAAATACGAATGGGGTATGCAAGTTAAAACATTTTCCTCTTTGAGTAAAACAAACAAATATGAACGTTTTTAACATCTCGCACAACCTCTAATATTCGAGGATTTCAATTTTTACTTAAATCTTTTTACAGCGGAATATTTTAAGAGGATTTTGATCTGAGTCGTTGAAAAATTTCGAAGATTTTGTTTTGAACCAGGTAAAATAGCAATTTTACTATTTATCGTTCTTAAAAATTGCGCGTTTTTCAAATCTGCCTTTTAGTATATCAAGGACGCACTGTTTATATGATAATGGACTATATCAGACTTTCAAAATAACAAACTTCAATAAATGCAAAAAAATAATCATAATTTCAAAACATAAACATTTTACTTGTAAAAAGATAAATACAAATAAAAGGGTCAAATAGACTACCTATAGTCACCTATCGTCAGATGATCAGACAGTAGTTTTGGCCTTGCTCATAAATTGCAATATATACGCAGTAATATAGTGGATAAAACGATAAGCATGGTAGAGTAAGTTGTAAATAAATAAAAATATTGTTACAACAGTGAAAATTTTAACAATAATTATTTATTTAAATTAATTAACATAATTACAAAATATGATATCACTAAGACATTCCTATGAGGTGAAAAGGGCGAAGTAAAGTTTTATTACAGATTTTTTAAATAGATAATACTTTTTTTTTTTTTACAAATACACACTTAAAAATACTTTATTACAAGTAATTCCGATTATATATAGAAAACTAAAGTTCTTTGTTTTATTTTTCTTTCTTCATAGAATCAACACTTTTATTTTTTTGATTAACTTTTTGTTTCTTATTTTACTGGCATTTCTAATACATCATTTTTAATGAACGGTTTAGACATAATAAGTTTTCTTTTTTCTTTTTTTTAAATAAAGATGTCATAAAATTTCGCTCAGTTATATTAATGCTATTGACTTCAACGTTACTGCATCCTTTTCACATCTTCCATGGAGAGATGCTAACATTTTAGAATTTCGATTCAATGCGAAAAATACGATTATTTCTGACAGTCTGTCAAAATAAACTTTATTCCAGTCGAGGCTGATTATATTACATTCGATTACACTTTCATTTTCTGCTTCTTTATCATTCTGTAAGCGTCAATGGCTTTTTGACGATCGTTGTCAAACTTTTGTTGCTCTACAAAAGTCATTTCTTTTCTCTTTTTTACGCATTTAACATCACTTTTATCATCCAGAAGTGAAGTAAGTTTAAGGTTGTTTAATTTCTGAAATAAATAAAAAAGAACACTTATTGTTATTATTTTTTTTGTAACTACAGTATTAAACCGTTGTTTGTAGTTACATGTAATTTAGACCATCATATGGATAAACCAGGTCTAATTCATCTTTAAAAAAATAAATATTAAAAAATAAATAAAAATTATAATTTATTATGATTATATCAACAATCTTTATAACTTATAAATAAATACCTTATCCTTTGAAGCTCCTCTAGGAACTGCAGATAACGTTGGCGGTCGTTCTGCAACTTCACCAAACTTAATCTCATCTGAGGTATTAAAAACCGTTATTATCATTATTTAACATTATTATCAATCAACTCATTTGATTGATAATAATATTAACGGTTTATTTATTTTGAATCAAAGTATATTTATTATGATTGCTATTTTTAATGGGAAAAAAAAAAGAATAAAAGTTTTTCCATTAAAAATAGCAATCATAATTTTGATTCAAAATAAATAAAAAAACATCAATAAACTGTTAGTTGCAAAATGGAGAACACAAAATAAAGTTGATGGGATTTTCGTAAGTTGAGAAAACGACAGAGAAAACGTATTTAATAAGAATACCTTTAAATGAAGAAAAATCCTTAATTTCAACACTTTGGTCTACTTTCTTCTTTTTCTCTTTTATCTTTTCATCTCGCGCTTTTAGATGTCTGAGTAAAATAGTCAAAATATTTTAAAATAAACTGTAATAAAATGATAACTACATAATATTATTTGTTTTTAAAAATCTTCTGTATATTAAACTTTGATTTCTAAGTATATTTATACGCAAAATTAAGAATAATAAAAATAATAAAAAATAATTTAAATACATGTAAATAAAAAAAAAACCAACCATACAGTTTTCTTTTTTTGCGCAGAGTTTTTGTTTCCATCATGGTTTTACTGATTGCTTCCTTTATGTTTTCATCTAAACGCTGGAAGTATTGCTTTTTTGTTTCATTAGGTTTCATCACAGGGATACCATTTTTAATAGCATCGCTCTTCACGAGCTGATTACTTTTCAACAATTTTTTTACTGATTGAGTATCTAAATATATTTTTCAACATACATTTTAATATATATTTTTTCTTTTTCTTTCAAAAAGTGCACATCGTAAGCTCCCACTCTTATCTATCTACTAAAACGAAATTTTAGTAACAATTTGAGCTGATTTGAAGCAAAAGTTGTAAAAAAAATACATATCGATTTTTTTTTTTCAAAAGTATATCATGTTAGGTCTCGAAAGAAGCAAATTTTTTGTTTTTAGTCTTATAAAGAATTTCTTAAACTTTTTTATTTTCTTTTACTTTTTTAAATTTTTTTTTTTTTTTTTTTGAGATATACATATATACACATACATACATAAATACATGCACACATACATATGAGTCATTCTATATCAAATCACCTAATGGTCCCCAGGGTACCACCTCAGATTTGCTTTAAATTTAACCACCCACAGATTTTATGAAAAAAACACGATCCTGAAAATTTTAGCTTAATTATATATGATAATATTTATATATTGAAAATATCAAAAATATATATATCGGAAATATTAAAAAATATGTAAGTAAATGTGATAAATGAGGATGTGGAAATCAAAAAGTTGAAAAACTGAATACAAGTATGACAAACCTTGGAGCATCAGCATTGAATATAGACCCAAAAAATATAGTATTGGAAAAAAAAGCAAAACTATAATGATTTAGATAAACATTTTAGATTAAAAAAAAAAAAAAAAAAAAAGTAAAAATAAGTTAGAAGAAAGAAAAAGTTCAGGAGCATTTGTCATCATTTGTCATTAATTTGACATTTTACTTTGTCAAATAGATAAAAACTGTATGATTAGTTCTTTTTAAATTTATGTTCATAAACTTTTCATCAATATCTTGGTTTCCATTATAAATCTCAAGCACAAATCTATGTACCATTCATTATTGTAAAAATATGTGATGTATTTACCAGCTTTAAAGTTTGAAAGGTTTTTTTGTACCAAGTTGACATTATACAGCAAACAGGTATATTAAACATGTTTACTAGAGATTCTCTGTAAAAATTACTTCTCTACCTGGTACAAAACTGCCATGTTTAAGACTGTGCTCATATCTTCATATATTGTCTGTGGTTTTGAGTTTTATGGTTATAAATATCATCACTTGATAATATATGCTAACACCTTCTAACACCTATGTGTGGTGCAAGAATCTGATTTGTAATTAATGCTTGTAGACTTGCTTTTGCTGCTATTTTTTTATAGTTCCTCCTATTCCATTACATAGGCTTTTGATATAAAAGGTAGTAAAAAAGTGATAATATATACATATAATATATGTATATTAGCCTGGGCCATTTTTTTTGTCATAGTGAAAATTTGTGACACACAGTAGCTAATCAGTGTCTCTAGGGTCACTTTTATGATTAAATTTTTTTTTTTAATTTGTTTGGTAATATTTACTATTCCCACCAGTCAGTTAAAAAAATATTTTACCTAGAAAATGGCCTGTTTTTATCCATTTTCGGATTATTGGCGGGAATAGTAAATATTATCCAATATTGTTCGTTATCAATTTAAAATGTTTATGAAGGTCTATGTTATGACATATTAACACTAACATAATGAGAAATATCCCCAAGTATTACTAATGTGTCCACTAAGTTATAGCATGGAACTTTTTTTGTGAATGAAATTTTTTTATTTTCACTTTCCTTCAGAGCAGGTAAATAAAATAAAATAATGGATTAAGATCTTTATTTTCAAAAATATAACTTTAAAAAAATCACAGAGCAGAACAGTTCTATAAAACAAAGAACACAGAGCAGAACAGTTCTATAAAACAAAGAACACAGAGCAAGACGGTTCTATAAAACAGAAACTTTAATATCTTTATAAGTAGAGGATTTAAGAGTTGGAGGCACAGAGTTAGCGGATTTTTTGTATGACGCTTTGGTTCTGCAAACTGGTTTCTTCCAAGCATTCTTGACCTGGAGGAGATTCTGCAGTTTGTCTTCACTCTTGGCTTTCTCCACATTCTGTTGGATGAGCTTGACAGCATGCTCAGAGCAATCATTAACAACATTAATGGAGTTCACAAACTCCTGGAACTTGTATCCAAGAAAATTATAATAAAACTGATGGGGTAGTTCCATCCAAATACACTGCTCCATGGCAAGGCCTAGAGAGTCCAACTCTTCTTCTTGATAAAATTTGTTAACGAGGGAGGTTTCTCCTTCTCCTTCAGGTAAACATAAATTGGAGGCATTTCAGCCCTTACTCTATCTCTTCCAAGTGGCTTTCTATCTGTGACAAACAGAACCTTGGCCATCTCCATCTGTGCAAAGTTATTACTGTCCTTGGAAACCAAGAGCATTAATACCAAGGAAGGGTCTAGATACCAAATATGGTTTCTCCACGATTTTAATACTGACTTAGCAGCAGGTTCAATCTGAGCATAGTGGCACAATTGCTAATAGCTGAACTGATCCTAAATAAAATTAATTTAAATATTATTTTTACCTCAAATCAAGCTTGCGCAATACAAACATAAATAAAAAGCACTTTCATTATTTCGATTACTATTTTTGTAAAATAAATATTGCATAATGCACAATGAAATTACACCATTAATTATTTTTTATTATTTTACCTTGACTGAAGCAGAGTCTGGAAACTCACGAGTAAGGAACCAGGAAGTGTAAAAGATGGCAATAAAGTCTGTAACAAAATATTATCAGGCATAATTAAAACTTGTTCTGAAGTCTTTTCCTGTGGTATTTCAAAATTTTCGTCATCAGAGCTAGCTGTATCTGATGCAAAGTCAATGTTAACGTCAGATTTAACCTTAACGAAAGCAGTTGGTTTTTCCTGCTTCTTTCTTCTTTCCGATCTCTGTGCAACAAACTCAAACCTTCCATCAACTTTACCAATCAACATCTTTTTGTCTGTCATCTGATCATGAATAAAAGCTTCATCCTTTAAGTTGTCCTTGGTCATCCTTAACCTACTAGATTCCAGACTTCTTTTCAGAAGATTAATATACAAACTTGCCCAAAACAAACCTTATTAAACAACTGTTTTTTTAAAACTCTTATGGGCCTCAAAGAATAATCAAAGCAAATGTAATTAGCCCTGCTCACTTCATTTATTTTGACTTATTTTCTTAATTAATCCAGAAATTTTATAAAGTCAACCAACAGAAAATTTTTAAATTGAATTCTATAATTTTTTTATTTTGACAGAAATAACTATATTGAAACTTGTTATCTTCAAGTTTAATGCTAAACCTCTTGCGCGATGCTTCATAGCCAGCTCCAACTTTCTTCTCAGATTTACTCAGGTTAATGTACTGTTCCACAAACTGATTAACACTGTTGCATAGATAATGGACGGTCAGAACTGGAAACCCTGTTCTTCTCTAAGGAACAAAGATTCCAGAAAAGAGACACCTAAACTCACAGTTAGTACTATCTTCAACGCAAGATAATCTACAGAGAAAATTTTTGTCCAACTACATTAAAAAGGGAACAGATGTGTTCGAGGAATTTTTTGTGGATATAATTTAATAATTCACATTCTGTATCCATTTGACAACAAATAGTGGGATTGATACCATGTAAAACAATATAAAACAAACCTAAAAGTTTTGTTTTGAAGAGGGCAAGACACTAACTCTTTAATTGGTTTCCTTGGATGCAAATCACGGAGGTGAAGATAATGTTGGATGATGTGTTTTCTCAAAGAAAGCTGGTTCCTCTCCATCCTCTTCAGGGTGTTTCCAACCAGAAATCTTTTTTTTTTGCTGTAATTTTTTATTATTTTAACCTGTGTTTTTGACTAGGACTAGGAAACCTCTCCCTGAGGACTGAGGACTAGGACTTTGACTGAGGACTAGGAAACCTCTCCCTTTTTTTCTAGTTTTCATTGCTATACAACTCACTTTAAAAGTAGTTAGTTAAAAAAATTCCACAACTTCACAAGCGCAAGTAATATAAAAAATATCACAAGTGCAATTCCCAAGTGGCTCAGAGCGTGTGAATATAAACACGTTCATAAGTAATGACTTCAATAATTGTTCTCTATCGGTTGGGAGGTTGGGATTTTAAGCACGCATGTAATTATTGATGCAATGCGAGCCACTAATTAATGGTAGATTTGATAGATTACAGGACACTTAAATCCCAAAAAGGAGGTTTATATATGCACCAATCCTTTGTTAGAATTAATTGATGATTTATGAGGTCCTAACAGATCATCTTGCAGTTAAATGGATAAATTTAGACCTAGTTTACTATTCTCGCTGAACGTACAAAAAAGCCCAAAACTAAAGGAATTTTAAACTTTAAAACCATCGACGGACATTTAAGTTGACAACTTTAAAAAAAAAAAAAATTGCAAATCCTCATTATATCATACAAAAAGACTTTTAAGAAACAGTGTACATCAAAATTTTTATATGACTGCAAAAATGGCCCAGGCTAATGTATATATATAATATATGATATATAAGTTATGTTAGTGTATTCTCCAAATAGAGTGCTCAATGTTCTTAAAGAACAGAACAATAATAATTTAGTAAAAACACTTATCTAATTTTAGTGTTCTTCTGATGAGCCTACCGATCTTGAAACAGCATGTTTCAAGATCGGTAGGCTCATCAGGAAGCTTAAAACCACACATATACAATATATATATATATATATATATATATATATATACAACCCTCGGAATTAGGAAAAAGGAGCTTAGATATAATTTCCTGATCTCAATCTTTAGAGGTCGGCAAAAATTATTTGGCACAAGAGTCTGACTATAAAACATAAAAGCGAGGTCAGCAATTTTTTGCAGACCTCAAACACTTTTAGATCGGCAGTTAGGTCGGCATTGCCGAATGCTGACCCTAATTCCGAGAGTTAATATATGATATATATGATATGTAATAAGTTAATATGTGATAAGTTAATATATGATATATATGATATATGATATATATATATATATATATATATATATATATATATATATATATATATATATATATTTATATATCATTTAAGGGAAAACTGAGTATATTTATTCAAGGAAAAGTTAAAAATATACACCAAGGTCATTGGGCTACAACCATGATATATGATAGAGTATAGGTCTTTAATTTTTTTTTTTTTGGTGATTGTCTATATATAGAACCTTACCAGTAAATAGTTTTAACTCTAAAAAAAAACTTTTCCGAGAATAAAAAATGTTTTAAAAAATTATAAAAAGATTGTGACCTAAACCCTTTTAGATATGTTAATTACAAGTGAATTAAGAATATATTTATATTTTGTCCTCACTTGTTTGACTCTTTTATCTGTGTGTGTGTGTGTTTTTAAATGAACATGAAAGATTGGTAAAATTGTAAGTTGCAAAACAAAGGGAACTTAAATCTCAAAACAGTTTATTAGTAAAATAGCACAGCAATTAAACTTTATTTTCAGAACATTTTAATGGTTTTAGTTTACAAAGATGTTTTTAGTTTGTAATAAGTGCTTTATGTTATATTAACTACAGTCTTGCTTTGCAGAAGTTTATAATAATATTGTAGCTTATGAGATGGCTCATAAGAAATATAATACTTGTAAACAAAAAATCATTGAAGATTATAATAATCAAACTACACTAAGTGTATTTTTATGTAAAAAACATAAAATATCAAACGCAGTTATAAACCGATTAGTTAATAAATATAAAATGAAAGAAACTATTGAATCTAAGCATTTAGGTGGATGGCCAAAAAAAGTAGTCTATATACTGATCGTAAAATTATTATGTAAAAAAGAACCCATTTGCTAGTGCAAGAGATACAATTGATGAATTTCATTTTTTTTTTTTTTTTTTGTTAATTCACCTCCTCAAGGCTAAGAAAGTTACTACAAACGGAGAGGCTACTTATTTATGATTATAACCCTCTCTCAACTCTTTAACTACAAAACATGAACCTTGACAAACAAGGCCACCGCGCAGAGAAACAAATTGAGCACGGTACTGTCAGGGACGAAGTGGGAATCGAACTCAGAATCGAGCTTCATAAGTTGGATTCCCACGAAGTGGGAATCCAACTTATGAAGCAAGCACTCTACCACTACTGCATTTACATATTTCAGAAAAAGATGTTTGGATAAAGTAGGATTGTATAGTTATCGTGCAGCAAAAAAAACCATTTATATTTGCAAAAAAAGGATTTAAAACGATTATATGGAACCCTTAAAACATAGAGGTAACCTAGGTAACACTAGGTTACCCCCATATTTTTCATTTTTTTGCAAATATAAATGGTATTTTTGCTGCACCATAACTATACAATCCTGCATTTGGAGGTGCATTTCAGGATTTTTTGGATTGGGACCACTATATCGCACTGAAGAAATAATGGGTAAACATAAATAATAAAATTCTGGAGCATCACATGTTAACTATTGTAGAAGAAAACATGCCTCCGAAGTGAACATTCCAACAGGATAATGATCCAAAATTAGTTAGAGAATGGCTTGAAACAAATAAAGTTGATGTAATCCAATGACCTGCACAATCTCCTGACCTAAATCCTATTGGAAATTTATGGAAACAGTTTGATAACAAATTACAAGTGACAAGTTTTGAAATGCAGAAGAATTGTATCAAGGACTTCATAGCGTCTGGTCACAGATAAAACAAATTCCAATTGAAAAACTTATAGACTATATGCCTCATGGATGTATTAAGGTTATTTAAAACAATGGGTATACCATAAAATATTGATTTTATACGCTTTTGATGGTGTCTTATTGAATTATTAATTATATTTGTGTTCCTTTGAAGTATTTTTATGATGATTGCATTTGATTAATATGAGGTATTGTTAAAAGTTCCTTTAGTTTTGGAGTTTGAAATAATAGCTTTTTTTTATTTTCTCCAGGTTTTTATCAGTATTCAGTTGTTTTAATATATTTAACCAGGATATATATGTTTAGCAACCAGTTAGCAACTTTTTTTGTTTTTTTGTTAATTCACCTCCTTAAGGCCGAGAAGGCCACTACAGACGAGGAGGCTACTTATTAGTGGTTATATAACCCTCTCTCAACTCTATAACTCCGAAACAGGAACCTTGACGAACAAGGCCGCTGCGCTGAGAAACGAGTTGAGAAACTGTGAGTTAATTAATATAAATATTTTTATAAACAAAGAAGGCTTTTCATAAAAATTTTTTTTGCGTATAAAAATATTTTACAATTATATAAAAATCTTTCCTATAAAAATTAAAAAGAAATTATTAGGATTTATATAACAAACTATTTATAATAAAAGAATTTAAATCTTTTGATGAACAGATTGTTTTATTTCTCTACTTAGATATTCAAATAGTGTCAAGTCCCTGATTATGAATGTCCCTGTTTATGCATATGATTCATATATAAGAAGTAAATTCTTTATTAGATAGTTTTAACATTGGAATAATTTGAAAAAAGGTTTGTCTTTATGGGATTTGTAAACATGCTGATTAAATTTATCTGAACCAGCACCTGTTCCACATGTATGGATGTGTAAATTAGTTTTAAATCTCAGGTTGTTAGTTTTTTCTTCAAATTCATTATATGATAGAAAATAAATAATTTTTTTTAATTTTTTCTTTTTTGAATAACAAGACATTGATGTTTTAATGTTCAATACTTTACCAGATGATGTGATTACTTTAGCAAAGCCCAATACTTGTTTTGTTTCTAACCAAATAAAAATGGAAATAGGACTTCAACAACTCAAATATTTTTTAGCTCAATACAATTACCCAAAAATCAATAATGAGATTTTTCTCGACTACAGGTACCAGCACCCCAAGAAAATATACACACATATATTCCTGCATATTTAGGTTGCCCTTAAAATAAAATATTTTACACAATTTTAAAAATACCGACTTTATTCCAGACAGTTATAAAGAAAAAAATGAAAATCAAAAAAAATAAATTTTTTTTAAAAAATAATTTATTGTAATATACAAGTATATAAGTATAATTGTTAACTATTTTTGTCATGCCAATGCCAAAACTAATACCAAAAAAATAAATATTGAGATTAAAATTAATAAAAATAAAACTCAAAAGTCAAAAGAGTTAATAATACAGTAACACAGTTTAAAAAATAACAAAAATTTTTTAAAAGATCAAATAGTTTAAAACACAATAAGTCATTACTAATCTTAATGCTGAACATGAACATTACTAATCTTAATGCTGAACGTGAACATTTAAAAAAAGTTGGAGTTTCATTACTAATCTTAATGCTGAACATGAACATTTTAAAAAAGTTGGAGTTTCATTACTAATCTTAATGCTGAACGTGAACATTTAAAAAAAGTTGGAGTTTCATTACTAATCTTAATGCTGAACGTGAACATTTAAAAAAAGTTGGAGTTTCATTACTAATCTTAATGCTGAACGTGAACATTTAAAAAAAGTTGGAGTTTCATTACTAATCTTAATGCTGAACATGAATTACTAATCTTAATGCTGGAGTTTCACCTACATTAGTTCACTACTTAATTTTAATTGGATCTTACAACACTATGCTATTTACTATCTTTCTGCCCTTCCCTTTTGGTCTTTATATTTATTTCTCTCTATAGGTGTGTATGTAAATATGAATTGATATGTTTTTTTTTGTATGTATATATTTTTTTTGTATATATATATATGCATATTCAGGTTTTTTGACTTTGTTTTATTTTCGCATTGGTTTATTTTATTTTTATTATTTGAATTTATATTGTGGTTAATTGTTAATTTTGTTTTATGAGTTATTTTCTTTTGTTATATTAATTGTTATACTCATTAACACAGCATAATCATGTAGAACCTGTTAGTTCATGGTTCAATTCCAGCTATAAACATGTCTTTTTTGTACTTTTAATTCAGTTACTTTTAGACTTTACACATGGGTGAGTTTATCATTTTTATTGCATGTGCTAAGTTTATTTTCTATTATTGTTTTTTACTATATGCATAACTATATATTATTTTACTAAGTATTTATTTTGTTGTGAATGTCTGTTCAATATATATTTTTAACATTTTTTAATCCTTCCTCTTTAACTCCCCTCCTAATTTTTTCCTTATTTTACTTGGACTTGACAACTCATTTTAGTCCTTCGAATTATATTTTTGTATTTTTTAAAATAATTTAAAATACATCAAGTCTCTAACACCTTAATGCTAAATGTGAATATTAAAAACTTACTGTCATTCTCAACTTGAACTTTATCTTTTTTTTTTTTAGCAGAAGCTCTATCAATAATTGCCTGATTCCTCTCAAACTTCTTTGAGTTAAATACCTGATCAAATTTTAGTTCACTTTTTTTGGGTGGATTATCAAATCTGAAAAGAAAAACATTGAAAAACTTGTGGAATCTCTGCATCTAATAATAGATAAATTTTGAATTATTACTTTTATAAATATATTTAAAATCTAACTTATTCACTTCTTTCTTTCTTTGAATTGTAAATGGGTCACATGACTTGTATCTTCTCTGCCTGCTCATTCGTCCCATTGTTTAGTTTAATTAGATTTACTGTTTAAAAATTTTGATTTTTAAAATGATTATTAAAGTTAGGATGAGGATAACCATGGTCATGTTAAGTTTCAGAGTAAATAAGGTAAATGTAATGCAGTAGTTACAACGAGAAAAGAACAATGATAAAAATAACACTACAGTAAAAAAAATACTACCACAAAAAAAAAAAAAAAAAACACCACAATAAAAATACAATCACAGTAAAAAAAAAAAAAACTTTTTATAATAAAAAAGTAAAAAAAAACTAGAGTTAAAAAAATGTAAAATAATGGCAACCTATTGTTAGCTAAAAAAATTTCAGTGCCTGAAAAAAAATTTGATACCCAATTTAAAATGGCTGTGAGTACCTGTTCTTATTTTTATAAAAAAAATTATAAGCATTAAAACTAAAATTTAAAACAAAAAAATTAAAGATTAAAAAACTTCAACAATATTAACAGTTAAAAAAATTTATTACACAACATAAAAACATTAAATTAAAAAAAAATAATTTATTACACAACATAAAAACATTAAATCAAAAGAAAAATGACAAATAAGAGAGAACATAATATAAATGGGATTGTAAGACAAAAAAATTCCTAAAACAAAATGATATTTTCCATTTAAAATGATTATACAAATTTTTCATAAATTATACATCTAACTGAACAACTCATCAAGATATGGTGGATTCGAAGTATTGCCAGTAACAGCTAAAGTAGGTTTACCACTAAATACTTTTTTCGAAACCTAAAAATATTAAATAAAAAACACAATATACTACAAAATGAGAAACAAAGACTATAACATGTTAATCAAGTAAAAAAAACTCAGCAAGAAAAAATAAAGATTAAAAAAAATTAAGATTAATAATCAAGTTAATAAATCTTAGTAAGAGTTTAAAGCAAGACAAATATTTTGCAAGACAGACAAAATGATGGAAAGAAAAAAGAAGTTGATGAAAAGGTAATAGAGCTACATTTTTTCATTAAATTTCTCGGATGATAATTCAGTTTCTTTCAGTAATAAGACATTCTTTCAGTAATAAGACATTAGTAGTTATTTTTGATATTAGAGTGGTGGATGTTTTTGTTCCATCATTACATTATTATTAAAATTAACATCACTACCATTACAATTAACACCATTATCATTACAATTAACATTTGTAGGCTAAAAATATTCCTTTATTGATGACACCAAATCTTTATTGGAAAATTGAATGTAATAATACCAGGGCTGTGGAGTCGGAGTTGCCGAGTTGCAACAATTTTAGCGGAGTCGAAGTCGCTAAAAAATATCGCGACTGCGATATTTTTTAGCGATATTTCTTGGTATTGCATGTGCATGTACAAAACATTCAATTAACCTTATGTTCATACTAAACTTCAAACAACATTTCATAAATATGTAAAAAAAAATTTAAACTTATCGCGCAATATTTTTTAAAGACTTCAAAGAATTTTTCAAAAATTTTGTTTTGGAGTTGTACTCAAAAAATTTTGTTTTTTACTATATGCATAACTATATATTATGTCTGTTCAATATATATTTTTAACATTTTTTAATCCTTCCTCTTTAACTCCCCTCCTAATTTTTTCCTTTTTTTACTTGGACTTGACAACTCATATTTTGATAGAGCTTCTGCTAAAAAAAAGGACTTGGACTTGACAACTCAATTATTGATAGAGCTTCTGCTAAAAAAAAAAAAGATAAAGTTCAAGTTGAGAATGGAGTCGGAGTTGTACTCAAAAAATTTCAACAACTGGAGTCGGAGTTGTACTCAAAAAATTTTAATAACTGGAGTCAGAGTCGTTACTTTTTTTTTACGACTCCACACCCCTGAATAATACTAAAAAAATTATTTCAAATAAATACCAACTTACTTGAATTAGGTTATCAATGGTTACAGCATCAATTTTAGCTGATGCAACCTTTGGTGATATGTATGAATTACTGTACATGACCTTAGTAAGATAAAGAAAATAAGTAATAAATATAAAAAATATATATAAAGTTAAAAAACCTTACAGATATAAAATAATAAAAAACACAAAATTTTTATACAAAAACTCAAGTCAACAGTTTTAATAAATATTTCAATCTTGTAGATACTTTTACACTTAAAAAATGTCTAACTTGTGTAACAATGTCATCTAAAAGATCATTTTTGTTCTCTGCAACCATCATTATGCTAGCTTTTGCTTGGTTTCTACATTTTATTATATGTAAATAAAATATATACATTTTAGGAATATAAATAAATTTTTAAACATATTAAATAAATATTACATAAATAATAATAAATATGACAACTATTACTTAGCTCTTTCAAGATCTACAACTGAAATGTTTCCTTTTGCTATATTTGATACTTGTGCAACACCTGATTTTAAAACCTTAAAACAAAATTAGCACAAAATATAATTATATTATTTAGCATGAAAAAATTTGGGATATCTAAAAGATTTAGAAAAACGTACCTTATGGATAGAAGAAGGTGATGCAATCACATTAAAACCAAACAATCCGCAGTCAGAGTAACTCAAATTCAATGCATTTATCTATATATATATATATATATATATATACATATATATATATATATATATATATATATATATATATATATATATATATATATATATATATATATATATATATATATATATATATATATATATATATATATATATATATATATATATGTATATATATATATATATGGGCTCATTAGGGCAAAAACTAAAAAAGGATTTAGCAGCACACAAAACATCAATTGTCATACTAAAATAACCATCTGCAGAGAACAATTAGTTCACAATAAAGACATTCAAGTTTCACTATATGTAAGAAAGTTTTGTGTTTTAAAGGTTGTGTAAAAAAATAAGTAGCCTCTCCTGAACGTTCGCTACAGTTCAGGAGAGGCTACTTATTATTTTTATTTTTTTATTTTCTCCCTCTCAATTTTGAACACTAGACCCACTTATAACCTAGTGCCCCAAAAAAAAAACAGCTTTATTTTTTGTACCTAATCACATACAACCAATTATATGTCAAATACAAAGGGTAGGAAACATGTATAATACAAAGGTAGGAAATATAAATACAAGGGTAGGAAACATACATAAATTATGTATGTGTATTAGAAGTTAGAAATATCTATATCTGTATTTATATTACAGAGTAAAATAGAAAGGAACCACAATGAATATCTCAAATATTTAAAAATAATAAAAAAATCTTCATCCTCACTATGAAAGGCGTATCAGATACTGCAAGAGCTGCCTTGTTTAATCTAAAAACAGTGTTCATGATTATAAAATTATTAATTACAAAACCTTTGTAATAAAATTTTAAAAACTTTAAAAAAAAATTCATTAACAGAAACGATTTTATGCCTAGTGTTGCAACTTAAGCTTCACTTGAGGAGTTTACTCTACATGTTTAGACTAACTGTTAATTTTTTAGTTTGTTTGAAAGCATTAAATTTAAATATAGATTTATAAATATAATTATCCCTGAAGTAGTTTCAACCACAATAATAAAAATTGAAAAAACAATTAACAAACAAATTATTTTTTAAAATAAAATTAAAAAAAAAAAAAAACATAATCAAAATAAATTAACATAAACAGTTTGCTTTTAAACATTTAAAAACCTTGATGATACAGTATTGCTTCCCCATTTTATATATGGACCAGATCCAAGAACTTTCTGGAAAAAAAAATTTAACATTAAAACAACATCTTTACTGTTAATAATATTTCAATAGACTTAAATTTCACAAACCTGAAGAACCAAGAGAGTTGGCAAATCTTTATGAAACAATCTAAAAAATGAAATGTTAACAATAAAAAAAAAAATTCTTTAAATTTTTTTCTTATTAGTATTTTTGTACATATTAAAAATATAATTTAAAATATTATTAGCAAACCTTAAAGTTAAATTTTTAAAAACTCCCTTATTATATTTAACACTTTTGACCATTATGTAAAAAAACTTTGACTATTATGTTTTTAACAACTTATGAGATTAGGAATTTACATAATACTTGTTAAAATATAGAATAAATTACCCCGCTCCTTCTGCAACAAGAGAAGCATATGTTAATCCAACACCAGTAAATGTCTGTGCTTCACCTCCATAATACTTTTGTGGAGCTGTTTTAATGGGTTGTGATTGTGGTAATGATCCAAAAAGTTCTCGAGCATATGTCATTAGATCATCATGGTTGACATCTGAACATAAAATAATTTTGTGAAGAAAAACTCCAATAACTTTTTAGCACAATTGAATTATTTGACTAATAGTTACTATTATTGTGTGTATATGTGTGTGTGCATATATATATATATATATATATATATATATATATATATATATATATATATATATATATATATATATATATATATATATATATATATATATATATATATATATATATATATATATATATATATATAGATATATATATATATATATATATATATATATAGATATATATATATATATATATGCACACACACATATACACTGATATATATATATATATATATATATATATATATATATATATATATATCAGGGGCTATTCTAGACTGTTTTTTAACAGCGTCGACCGTATTTGAGCACCGCCCGAATTAAAATTTGAGGACCTTTTTTTATTATTATTACAACTATTACAGCAAATATTGTTATTTTCGCAAAACCAGTCAATTTTTCGCTAAAGTTCACCAGAACAAGTGGGTACAGCCGCCCAATTTTTTGTCCTAGAATAGGCCCGGTATGTATGTATGTATGTATGTATGTATATATATATATATATATCAGCCTTCCGAAATAGAAAAAAATGAAGCCTGCAATAAATTACCAACTTTAAAATGTTATTGTCAGCAGTAGCTAAACATTAGAAATTCGTTATTATTTTAACGATCATTTTAAAATTATTTTGATTATTAGAGCTAATCAAATAACCTAATTTATTAATTAATTTATTAATATTTATTTCTAATGTATATATATATATATATATATATATATATATATATATACATATATATATATATATATATATATATATATATATATATATATATATATATATATATATTAGGAAAAATGTCAGAAATGTCAAGGTAACACAAGGTTTGTAAAAAATTAATTTTTCAGAAAACAAAAAGTAGCTAAACAATTAAAATATTAATTTAAAAAGATCATCTTATTATTACCTACTCCTACAATAACTAGCTGTTCGCCATTATAATTGTTTTGTGCAAAATTTTCTAACTAAAGAAAAATAAAATTAATTATAATAACATATCAACGATAACAAACTAAAACTAAACATAAACACACAAACGTATACTAAATATAAAAACAATATACAAAAACAAATTCATCGGCAAAAATACTACCTGATGAGCACTAAACTTCCCAATCAAAAGATCATTGCAGTACAACGAGCAACCAATACCATTTCTGTAAAAAAACTTCACAATTTAATGAGTTTTTAAAATTTAGCAAAGATATTTTTATCATTGTGTTGTGATTAACTTTGTAACTTGTCTCAAAAAAGCAAGCAAAAATTAGTTACCTAAATTTTTCACTTCACTAAAATTATTCAGCATAATTTCTAGTTATTATAGAGATATGAAAAGAAAGTTAAAAAATGGGCAGAAAATCTGGGATTAATTTTAAATTTTTTTTTTAATTATTTTATTTAATGTTACTCAATAATGCATTTAACATTACTTGCAAAATGGTATCATTCACTTAGGAGATAATCAAAAAAAATTATTTGTTTTAAAAAACTCAAAGCATATTTTATTTCTATCACTCAATAGAAAAAATTTCATACCTAAATGCTGCTTTATGAAGCAGTTCAAGATTGACTAAAAAGTAACAGTAAATACATATTTTATATATATATATATATATATATATATATATATATATATATATATATATATATATATATATATATATATATATATATATATATACATATATATACATATACATATATATACATATACATATATATATATATATATATATATATATATATATATATATATATATATATATAATATATATATATATATATATAAGCATTCAATAATATAATAAGCATATAAGCATTTCAATATTATATATATATATATTTCAATAATATACACACAGACACAGACACACACTTGCATACACATAAATACACACGCACACACACACAAAACTTTTAAAATTAAAACAAATTTTCTAGTTTTGTATCAAAATGTTTTAATATTTCCAAGTCATTTTCAGTTAAAACTTTAGTAAAAAACACCTGCTAAAAACTAATATAAAATAACTTTAAATTTTCAATAAACATAAATAGTTTAATTAAAATACTTTTTCCAATCCATAACATCAAACATAACATCAAACAATCCATAACGAATCGGTGTCACAGTTTACTAGTTTATTCGTATTGAGTTTTATCTACCCCTTAATATGCATACTTTCTTCAAATTCTAATTTGCTGAGGGCAGAATCCAAAATCAAAAAACACTTATAATAATAGTTATAATACTTATAATAGTTAAAACACTTATAATAATAAGAGAAACAATTTTTGAGTGCAAATGTTAACAAATATGAGTTTTTATCTTTCATATGGTGTTCAATAGGTTTATGACTGAAAATTAAAAAAAAAAAAATTGTTTCTCCTGTGGCTACAAATATTGATCTTTTGCAACCTGATTATTAATAAATTATTATCAAAGCTAGTTTTAAAAAAAAGTGCCCACTCAAAGACTCGCAATGACATAGGTTGGTGTCATATTTTACCAAAAATATTTTTTTAAAGTATATAAGTATATCATGCTAGGCCTCAAAAAATATGAAATTTTATAAAGATTTCCTAAACAACAATCTTTTTTAAATGTAACCTTCTTAAGAAAGATATTATTAAAAAATGTCATATGATGTGCCTTTTTTTAATTTTTGTATAAAAAATATCAATTTATTTTACAATAAATTTTTATCTAAAAGCTTTAAAGTTTTTAAACTTTCTATGAAATGGGTAATTATTCTTTTGAGATCCAACTTGATATACTTTTGGATAGAAATTTTTTTATTAGTATATATATATATATTTTAAATTTTAATTCACCTCCTCAAGGCCGAGAAGGCCACTACAGACGAGGAGGCTACTTATTTGTGGTTATAACCCTCTCTCAACTCTATAACTCCAAAACACGAACCTTGACGAGCAAGGCCGCTGCGCGGAGAAGCGAGTTGAGCGCGGTACTACCAGGGACGTGGTGGGGATCGAACTCGGAACCACTCGTTTATAAAGCGAGCGCTCTACCACTACACCACTACCGCATATGGCACCCACCATGTTGTCAGGTGTCTTGGTGCGTGAATTTTTTTATGAATTAAATAAAACAAATGTAATTTTCTTAATCAGTATTAAAATGTTCATTTATTTCTACTACTATAGGCTTAAATTTTTTGTCATAACCCTAGTGTTCAACCATTTATGCTTTTAAATGCTCAATAGTTTTTCTTATTTAACAGTATAATTAATTACACAAAATAATTAACAGTATTAAGATCCTGTACAAACAAGTTTGTAGACAACCAATGATTTTAAATCTAAAGGAAGAGGATCTTAAGGTGAAAAAAAGTTAGAGAGTTTAGTGAAGTAAACACCAATCTTACAATAACTGACTTACAATGTCTCTTGATAACTGTGTGAAATCTGCACTTTGACAGATATTTTTCCATTATAAAGAAATTTCAAAAAAAAAAAAAAAAGTCTTAACAACCATCTTTATTTAATAAGGAACTATATATTTTTTCTATTAGCTAGATAGGAACAAATTACATTTGAAAACTTTAAAAATATTGTTAATATTGTACTGGAGATCAAGATTAGTATTGTTTATTTTAAAGGTTCTATCATTTGAACATTTTATCAGACTTGATGAAAGAGATTAAGCTGTTAAAGTTAGTCTGAAAAACGTTTGTTTGTTGTCAATGTACTCCAAGAACAAATGTGTGGCTTTCTGGTTTTATTTCATTATAAGATTTAATTCATTTTCTTTCAAAAATTATCCATTTTTTGGATAATTTTTGAAAGAAAATGAATTAGAACTGGACTGGTGTTTTTACAAGATATTTTCAAATATCGAAGTATGAGTATTTTTTTATTAAAGGGATTCCGAAGTACTATATAGTTATTTTTTTATATGAAAAAATTTTATTTTAAAAATTGAACTGTAATTACTGTCACTAAAAATGTCATTTTATGATTTTTAAACATAGATTTTTATAATATTTTGATACTGATATTATATATAGAGATTGATTGTTAAATATTTGATGCTCACTTTATTCTAAAATCAAACTTTTGTTCTATCTTGAAAAGAAACTAAAAAACTCATAGTATATTTCTAGCTGCAGCTTTTGTTGATGCTAGGTGTAGAATACTGTTAGAAGAGAACCAGATATTACCAGCAATAAAAAAAAGACTTGAAAATATATTAGTAATTCAAGAAATAATAAATAAAGCTGAACCATCTACAGCACTTAATTCAATTTTAGGTGGCTAATTCTGATGAAGAAGATAAGTTTGAAAAAGAGCTTGATAAAAAATAAAAAAGGAGAAATGTGTGACCAAAATTAATTTGTTTAAATAAAAATACATTTAATACAAATTCGATGGATGACTGTAAAATTATAAAAGAAATTGAATGTTTAAAAGTGAAATCAACTTTCGAGGGAATTAAAGAATAAACCAAAAAGATACAGAAGCGAGCATAGTAGTCACTTGTATAGTGTCTTACAAGCATATAAAACTGTTTTCTGCACTTTATTTTTTGGATTTGTTTTACACGGAGCTGCTATAGAGATGGAGTAGGTGCCAAATATGTTAATGGGGCCAGAGCCTAGAGGATAAGCTTATTTTTAGACCTCCACTCCAATGCTTTACCCATAGCAAAAACAACAGTTTGGTTTTAAATCTATCATTTAAAAAGAATGTGTTTGAGCCAAAAGAAGGAAAATTTAGTTGCATTATTAACAATCCAACTAAATTTATACAACTTAAAAAAGGCAAAACCAACATAAAAACTTTACTGTCTAAAGGCTAAACAAACTTTAAAAAAAAACAACTAACAAAGCAAAAATTGAATGAAATCTTTAACCAATTTTTACTAAAGTCTTAACTGAAGATGTAGTCAAAACATGTTTTGGAAATACTAAAATGATTTGAAACAAAACTGGAAAATTTTTCTTTATTTTAAAAGTATTTACACATTTTGTGCTATGTTGAAATAGTATATGTGTTTATATATAACTATCCTAACATATTGAAAAATAATTTAAGTTTTTGAAACTAAACTTTAAATAAAATTGTAAAACTAAAAAGAATAACCTGCATTTTCATTTGCAGCATAAGTAGCATTTTCCATACGACACATCTTTTTAACTTCTGACAACTATAAAAGAAAACTATTTGTGTATATATATATATATATATATATATATATATATATATATATATATATATATATATATATATATATATATATATATATATATATATATATATATATATTAACTTGTGGCTACAACCCTTTCTCAACTTAACTTCGAAACACGAATCTTTACAAACAAGGCCGCTTTGCGTAGAAACAAGTTGAGTGCAGTACTACCAGGGACATGTTAGGGACCAAACTGGGAACTTCTCGCTTATGAAGTGAGTACCACTATGCCACTACCACATTAATTCAGCGCTCGAAATAGTTTTTCAAAGTTTCCTGATCAAATGTAATTTTTTCCCAAAAACAGGTTATTTTCCCTTGAATTTTTAAAAATTTCTCTAAAAATAGCCAATCATTGATCGGTCATTATTTCGAGTGTTGTTAATTGTTCTGGTTGAGTAGCAATTAAACATAACATTTGTCACTATTAATTAATATATATATATATATACATATATATATATATATATATATATATATATATATATATATATATATATATATATATATATATATATATATATATATATATATATATATATATATATATATATAAATATATATATATATATTTATACAATTTTTAAAAAAATGTATTCTACAAAATAGAGTGCTCAATGTTCTTAAAAGAACAGAGCAATTATAAATTAGTAGAAAATCACTTAACAAAAATTTTTTTCATTTTACACTGTGTTTCATCAACAAAGACTCATCAAAAAAGATTTCTGCTGAGTCTTTGTTGATGAAACAAAGTGTAAAATGAAAAAAATTTTTGTTAAGTGATTTTCTACTAATTTATATATATATATATATATATATATATATATATATATATATATATATATATATATATATATATATATATATATATATATATATATATATATATATATATATATATATATATATATATATATATATATATACTTATACATAATTATACAGTATTGTATATACAATAAAAACAATACAACATTTTTTTTATATCATTCAACTTAGATCTATATTTTGAAATATAAAAAGTGTTAATTAATGAGCATCATATTTTTTCTTAAAAATAAATATAAATATTTATGAAAATATTATTTGTTATGTTAATTATCTTTTTTTTTTTAACGCATATCTCATATCTAAAATAAATATAATGACTAAAATTAACAATCCACTCTATTATTTCAAACTTCCTTCAAAATTTTGTTTATCGTTGAATATTAGTGATTACTTATTTGCAAAATAATAATAGGTATTTAAAAAACTTTATTTAAATTGTTATATATATTTAAAAAAATTGTTTAAAATGTAATATAAAAATTAGTATCTAATTAACCACAACATTTCAGCAATAAAACAATCAAAATGACTACAAAAACTATTGATGACAAAATATAAAACCATAGCAATGAGTGAAATGAATGGGTACAATAAAATTGAAAATCTTCTGCGTCCTGGAAGACCCAGCAGTTCAAATAAAAGAAATGAACGTTAACTTATTCGCACAGTTAAAAAAAAATACAAAAAGCTACTGATCATCTAATAATCTCTGTTGAAGATGACAAGAGACTTCTGGTGTTGTTGCTAGTGTTCGAAGAATTAGGAGAGTACAACAGAAACACAATTATATGTGGCGAGCTGCTTGCAAAAAATAACTTCTATTAAAAAAACATCAGAAGGCAAGAAAAAAATGGTGTTTGGCTTATAAAATTGGTCTGTGAGCATGTGGCACAACATTTCTTTCAGCAATGATATGAACGTTGAGATTGATTCAAGAAAAAATTCAATATTGAGAAGGCCACAAAAAATGCCACATAAAAAAAGGACACAAATTTATATGTGTATAAATAAGGTAGTGCAGTATAGACCTGCATGAACTATGAAGCATCTAGACCTGCATGAACTGTGAAGGTGTCAGTTGCTTCAATGGATAGCTTGATTTTTAAAGATATTTAGATATTGGATAATTATTTGATGCCTTCTATTCACATATTTCCACAAGACACAGGATTGTTTTCCAACAAGAAAATGCTCCATGTCATACAGCTGAGATTTGCAAGCAATAGTGCGAAAAAACCAACATTAAAATTACAGGCCTTGTTTTAAAGCATAAAGTGACATGCCATTTGCGTTTGTGTTGAGCCATTTAACATAAGCAACCATTTCAGTCAAGCCACCTTTTATCAATTTTTAATATTTAAACAAGTCAAAAGATATTGTTTAAGCGGTAAGATAAAAGAAGTGACTTTATAAAAACCTTTATGAAGTTTGAATAAAGATTATGTACCAAAGTTTGAATGATACTTACATTTGATATTATATTTTATATTTATACATTATATTTATACATTATATTTACAATCATATTTACAAATCATAGCATCATATTTACAAATGTAATAATTTAAGAAAAAACAAAGAAATTTTCATTTTCATTAAATTAACTCTTCCATCAAAAATGTTCAGCAAAAGAAAAAAAAAAGATGAGTAAAAAAAAGAAATCATAAAATAAATTTAATAAAAAAACTTTTTTATCATCTTGCAAGCGCAAGAATATTTATTTAGGACAATTTCTCATAACAAACAATAACAAAAATAACTACCAAATTAAAAAAAAAAAAAAAAGTTAAAGTTTATTTTATATTAGCACCACTTTTGATATTTTGACTTTATTTTTTAATTTATTTTGTTATAATGATTGATTTTATCAAAAAAATGAAAAAAACATTAATTATTGCCTTAAATGACATCTTAAAAAGAGTTTATTTTTTTAAAATTAAATAAAAAAACTTCTAAGGATATAACTCAATTATTAATTAAAAAATATATATATATTTAAAAATATATTAAAAATAAATACACTTGATAACTTTATCAAGTATAAATATATTTAATAACGATGGTATCTAAACTACTTTTATATATTTTATTAAAGAAATTAATTATCTTATATCTATATTATTTGTAGAAGTTATATCTATAGAAGTTTTAATAATTAAAAGTATTTACCCTTAAAACAATATAATTTTTGCAATGTCTTCGTTTAAATTTATAAGAAAATAATAGCTTAGAAAAATAATATTTTATAATAGTTACATCAGCTATATAACAGCTTGTTCAATATCAAAAAAATGAAAACAGAAATTTCCTTATAATTGAGAAAAAAAAATTTGATTAAAAAGTTATTTAAAATTCTTGTAAACATGTTATAACACTGCATCAAAAAATGTTTTTAAAGAGTAGGCTTAACTATTTTGTCATAAGGCAAGTGAAAACACAATGGCATATACTTTTTAATAAATTGTACTTGGAAACCTAAATCTTGGTTTGTCACAAAAAAAAAAGCACTTGTAAAGTAATCAACTTTGTATTTTTGGCAACTAGCAATATTTGTAATATTTTTTTATTTTTGTTAAACTTTTTAAAAGTAAAAAATTATTATTTGCAAAGCTGCAATATTAAGAAATAATGAACAAAAAATTAACATATTTTAATTCATTTACACAAATGTGGAGAAAAGAAAGAAATTAATTTATGTTAAATAACAATAAAAAATGTAATAAATTTATTATTAAATATATATATAAAAAATCAAAACAAAATAGACACTCCACATTTACAAAATAACACTTCTAGATTTGTTTTTCTAAATTAAATTAAACTTGTTTTGTGGTAATTTATTTTATTGCTGTAATTTAAAAATGGTCTTAATTAGATCACAATCTTAGTATAAAAAAATTAAATTAAATTAATCAAAGATCTGGACCAGCTAAAAGAAGAAGAAACAAAATTACTCAAGTTCCAAAAGATATTAATCAGAATTTAGTAAATTACATCACAAACAGATCAATGAATGCTTAAAAGCTGAAAAATTGTTGGGAAAAAAAAAATTTTTTTGTATTTTTTTTTATTATGGTTTGTAATAATTTTTGTATATATAATTTTTATATAAAGTTATTAAACTTTTATATTTAGTTAATTAATATTTTTTAATCATTTTTTATTATAGCCATTTGGCCATACAACCATTAAATATATATATATATATATATATATATATATATATATATATATATATATATATATATATATATATATATATATATATATATATATATATATATATATATATATGTTAAAAATACAGATGAAATACAGAAATCATATTGTTACACAAACTTGTACTGGTACAGGAAAAGTGCTTAAGTAACAACCTTCAGAAATCATACTAATAGGTGTCCCACGCTCAAGCATCAATTGTCAGAAAACGTACTAGTACATGTCTTGCATGCAATATGTTAATTTTGTCTTTTCATATAAAATAATTATTCAAATATATTTAAGTTGTATATTGTCCTATAGCTTGAACTTTCTTCTATTAAAACTAATGTTTAAGAATTCATAACTATAAACATAAAAATCTAATATTTTTAAAATTTAGAATGGAAAATTTTAAAATTTTCTTAATTTTACTTTTTGAATTTAAAATCAAAATGCAGGGCAAACTACTTATAATATTTAATATTATTCAAGCATGGGGCAAAAAGTAATCCCCATGGCTGTCTACCTGTCTTTGATAACAATGCCTTAAAAGTACCTAAAACTTCTTCAGCCTGTACTTGTCAATAAAAAGTGTCCTATTTTTCTTTGTGATAACGCTCAACTGTATATTTCTAAACAAATCCAACTATAAAATCAACAAATTACAAGAAATCAACAAACACCAGAAGCTTGATTTGCCTGATTTGGCTCCGATTGATTACAACCTTTTCAAGCACCTTGATGCATATGTTGAAAAAAGCAATTAAATTCTGAGGAAGAAATAAAATATAAAATTTTATAGTCCAGAAAGACAGACTTTTATTTAAATGGCATAAAAACTTGTTGAATGTTGGCAGAAGTGTGTAAGTTCAAATGGAAACTACAATTATTATTAATGTAATGGTTAATAGGATTAATAATAATAACAACATTCTCACAATTTACAACTTTATTCTCTCTTAATTTTTCAAAGAAAAAAATACTATTGATTTTGCATTTAAATATTAATTCATTAAGTCAAAATACATAACAGAAATCAAACCAATACTAAATTTAAATTTGATAGATATAATAATGCTTAAAGGGACCACCAAGCCCTGAGACATGTTGTGTTCATATTAAAGAGAATGTTAAAAAAAAACGTCTGAGCAAATTTTTTTGATTAAAACTAATTAATAAATGTATACCAAGAAAAACAAATCTTGTTGTTTTAGTTGAAGCTTGTCTTCTTTATTTTCTGCGGTATTTGGAGTCTTTAAAATTAATGCGATTTTTCAAGTGCATTATACAGAGTTAATAATTTATTCAAGTGCGTTTAACTCATAGAAGTTTTAGTACAAGACCTCATTGGAAACATTCTAGAAATTCTTTAAAAATTTTACTAATAAATTTACTAAAATAGCTAACTATAGTTAGTTATTTTATTTTATAAAATTTTACATTGAAAAACATTTTGTTTTTTTATAGCTATCAGAGCCGTGGCTACATGGGCCACGGCGATGGTGGACCTAGGAACCCCTATGGCGCCAAATCGGATTATATAATATCTCAGATGATTCACAAGCGTGTTCTTTACATTTTAATGCAAGTTGTTTTGACAAATCTAACGAACAATTAATTAAACCAAGCACTAGGAAAAGATCTAAAAAATAAGAATATACTAATAAAATATATAATTTGTAATTAACTTTCAAAATTTTTACAATTTAAAAAAAATATATTATTAAACATTTATTTTTATAAACAAATGATAATAGTTTAAGAGATTTACGACTTTGCAGATGTGGCTCCGAGAATGAGCCATAATATTAAAGTTATAGTTCTTTTGATAATATATTCTTAAAATAATTTATGCTAGATATCTCAAAACGCAACAAATTGTGAATAATACAATTGCTAAAAAATTTCAACATAATACTCTAGAACTTTATTTTGCTTAGCGTATTTTTTGAACCAATAGAATTAGATTGTTTGTAAATTTGGCGGGTTTTTAGTGTTCACGAATATTCTTTTTATTCTTTTGCAAGATGTTTTAAGAACATTCAAGTTAATTATGTTTCCATGTATGTCCGAAAAATAAAAATTGATATATATTAATTTTTAAGCCCCACCATAATATATATTGGATGTTATAATAATTGAAACATAAATAATGAAATAAGATCACCTCAATACCAAAAAATACATTTTTGAAAATCAGAGAAAAGATGCGTTAATAATTTTTTTTAAATATTTACAAAGTAAATTAATAAAAGAGCATTATTATTTAGGTTGAATTTTATTTTATCTATTATTTTGAAAGAAAAACTTATAACAAAAGAAATCAAAATATATGTGGTCTAGACGATTATTTAAAAAAAGTTGCTCAAATAAAATACTATTTTGTTTTTAATTTTTTTACAAAAACATTTTAGAACTTTAAAATATAATAAAAATGAATATTATTTGGAAATTGAATGTAAAAAATTATAGTTGGTGTTTTAAACAAACAAACAAAAAAATCTATGATGTCATATACTAAAACTTCTATGAATTAAACGCACTTGAATAAATTATCAAGTCTGTATAATGCGCCTGAAAAATCGCGTTTATTTTAAAGACTCCAAATACCGCAGAAAATGGAGAAGACAATCTTCAACTAAAACAACAAGATTTGTTTTTCTTGGTATACATTTATTAATTAGTTTTAATCAAAAAAATTTGCTCAGACGTTTTTTTTAACATTCTCTTTAATACGAACACAACATGTCTTGGGACTTGGTGGTCCCTTCAATGAAACCAAACTTAACGATACATATCTAACTAAAGATTTTCTTACAAATAAAGTATTTTGATTAAATAAAATATATTTTTCGTAATAAGTTATATGTAAAAACATATTTTTGTAATATGTAAAAACATATTTTTGGGTAATAAGTTTTAAGTTCCACTTATTAATTTTAATATTAAACAAATATTTTAAAATTAAAATTTATAAGTGGAAATATAGCTTTAGATTTTATAGTTGAAATAAGTTGAAATATTTTTTATTAAGAAGTCAGTGGTTTTTCTACAAAAAAAAAAAAAAAAAAAAAAACCACAGCATGAAAATGAAAGAGTTTTGAATTTTTACCTACCTCCCAATTATAAAATAATGGTCCATTAAATGCAGAAGCCATAATTTGCATCGCATTTACACTAAAAAAAACATGAAAAAAACACGATAAATAAAAAATATATATAACACCTTATTTACTTCTTACAACGCCCTATTATCTCTTGCAACACCCTACCTATCTCTTGCCTTATTTTTTAAAATAGAAATAACAAAACATTCAAGAGTTTAAACTTTTTTATGAGTTTATTTAGTTGTTTTTAAAAATTTTTATGTACAAATGGAAATTCCTATTTATCTTTGATTTGCTTCAAGAAACTTAATTTTAATTTAACTCAATTTGATTTCAAATAAGTATAACCAGCAGGGATGCAGAATCCCAAAAAGGACTCCGGATTTTAAAGTCAGTTTTTGGCATCCAGGAACTCTACAAATATAAAAAAGTTTATGGACTACTAATAGGAAAAAAATAAGACTTTTAGGTAAGAACAACAATTATTAATTATTAATTATAATTGGTTTTTCAATTGTTAACAGTAATTAAATAACCAATTACACAGTTAGAAATTGAATCAATTCTGCTAGTCTTATGCCTTAAATCATTTTTTAATTTTAAAAAGGTGTGTACCAAAGTTGGTACTGTGATCCAAAAGATACTGTATATACAATATATGTTTGGATGCGTGAAAGATAAGCAATTTAAGCAATGGCTAATCGGTGTAGTGTACAGTAATAATATTATTAAAATAATATTACTCTTGTGTTATAATATTAAGGCATATTATTAAAAAAACCTTTATGTTATAATTTTACAATATTAAGGTTTTTTCTTATAAAAACCTTAAAACTAAAAATGGATTAGTTAAACTAGTATTTATATTTTTTAAGCCTTCACAATTAGTTTTATATGAAGGCCTAGTTGAATAAGTAAAATATTAAATCATTGATCAGGATTTCTACTCACTGCTCATTTTTAGAGGTTTTATGTTGAAGTTATTTTTACTTCAGATTTTTTTTAACCACTCTTTCAAGCAGGTTGACATGACATAGAAACCGTTGAAAATGAATTAAAAACCACATCTTTTTTCATTTTTTGACCATTTTTCTAAATACTTGAAACCTTCAAAACATGAGGGGGTCCTAAGCTTTATGTGGCTGTATCTTTTGAGCATCAAAATATATTTTGATAAAATTTGAAACCTAATTACAATTTATGATGGGCTTCAAGATAAATTTTTTTTTCCTTTCAAAAATAACTTTCCCTCAACCAGGGAGATACAGGGAGCATTTTTCAAGGGTATTTCTACTCTTGTTTGCAAATCACGTGGTTTGTACCTGAAATTAAAGTTAATTTTATTTAGAGACCTATTACAAATGACTTAATATCAAACTAATGGCATAAACACGACAATTTAGACAAATTAGTCCCAATAAATTACGTCAATTGCCTGATAATTTGTTTAAATTAAACAATTTGTTAGAGTATCGATTTATAAAATTTAAATAACCTAATACAGAAAATACTAAATAAAAACGTTTTTGCACAAAATGAGTCTGCAAAAAGTAAGATCTCATTTTGAAAATAGGAGATGGATATGTTTGTGTTGTGTTGATAAAGACAAAAATGTCTATCTTTGGAGAAGAATGATTCATTGATTTATCTGATCAAAGACTTTGTGGACCCTGGATTTAGTCTGAACCTAAGTTCTCATCCGCCTAGAATATGCAAAAACTACAAGACAAACTTATATTTAAAACAGAAAGGTAAGACGATCAGTAAAGCTGTGGAGACTTCCTGGATAAATGGTCGTGATCAAGTTAAAAAGTTGTGAATAAATAAAAAAAAGATGGCAATTGCAACTGTTTTATTTGCTGCCTAGGGCAGTGTACTAAAAGTAGTAATCTTTCTGAATTCACCTACATAGAATCTGAAAAGATAACATCCAAAAAAAGAAATTTATTTTGCTCAGAATGCTGTCTTGGTATTTGTCATCCTTGTAACAATAAAAAAACTGTTCAAAAGCTTCATGCCTTAATTACTTTCAAGAATCAAACTATCGCTGACAGAGTTGTGCCTTGTACGCTAAAAGAAATATCTGTTTTTGGTGATAAAAAAATTAAACTTGCAGCAGGAGGAAAAGCTCTTCCTGTTAAAGTATACAGAGACCGATCACCTATAAGGCATATAAAAAGTAAAACAATCCTGAACTTGAAGATAAACCACGCTACTTGAATAGGTTTTACGATATTATAAAATCTCAGTTCAAGATCGGTAAAAACTTTTTAAAAAAAGATATTGTTTATTGTACTGATCTATCTATGCTCATAACTGAAGTTTGTTCCTTCAGAAAATTGGATATTTTTAATTCTGTTGTACGTGTTGGTATTGATGGATTGCAGGCATCTCTAAAGATTGTTATGAATGTGTTTGACCCATCAGTATTAGATTTTCAATCAAGAAACCAGAAGTACACTGGAGTCAATGATGTGATTATCTTAGGTATAGTTCGAAATGTAGAAGAGAATCATCACAATCTGAAAACACTTTTCCTACTCCTTTAACTCAACCAATTGAAGTTTACCTTGGCTTCTGACTTCAAATTGATCAGCATCATTATTGGATTATCAGTAAGTACCTTATTTCATTTATATTTTATATTTTAAATAAGCAACACCTATAAGTTATTTTCTATAATAATAGGGTCACGGTGGAAAATATTTGTGTTGCTATTGTGATGGGCCAAAAGATGAAAAAGGAATTCAAAGGACTTTCAGATCACTAGCAGATGAATTTGAAAAATACCAACTTGATAACAAACCTTGTATACAGATGCAATATAATAAAAACGTTACTAATCCTTGTCTGTTGGATGAGAAATTGACTGAGGAAATTATCAACATAATTCCACCACCAATATCATATTTTGGAACACCATATTAGTAAAATTATTGATCTCCTTTTCACTGATAAAAATCTGAAAGAATTTCTTGCTAACAAAACGGTTATCAGGCATGGCTATAATAGTGGTGGTTTTGATGGACCTAACTGTGCCAAAGTTTTAAAATCATTGGACGAAATGACACTTCATTCTCCAATCGAATATCTGGAATGTATTGAAATCCTGAGGAGGTTTAAAGAAGGCACTTTATTGCTTTTTAATTTTTTTTAACACTTCTTAGAATGCTTTTAATTCAATTAGTACAGGTAGGGGACTATTGACCTACCAGTGCACATAAAATTAGGAGAAACGATATATTAATACTATTATTTTCAGCAAGTTAATATTTGGTTAACTTTTGTTTGATTTAGTAGCTGAATGCTGTTTTGGGATGAAACTCAATATATCCTACAAAGAAAAAAATAGACAAGTTTGTGGAGTCCATACTTCACTTAAACGTATATGTCAATGATGTATTCGCAATGAAGATTTCACATGGATGGAAGTTTCACATAATCAAGTTCCATCTCAAGGAATATCTCAATAGGCAGAAGAACCCCCTTGGTATTACATCAGAACAAACATCTGAAGCATAAAAACCTAAACAAGACACTGAAAAGGTTTGTTGTGTCTGAGAATCACGGTGAAAAGCTAAAAGCTATGGTTGTTAAATACAGTTCAACAACATTGTAAGAAGATTTTTCAAGAATATATTTAGATTGAAAAAATACTAAATCTTTTTTGTAACATGTAAAATATTGTTTGTGGCATTTCATTAGTCTGAATTTGTAATTCGAAATTTATTCATGTTTTGTGTGTGTCAGTAGAGATGGAAAATTTGTTGCATTCCTGATAGATTATTGACAAGAAGATAATTGCAACTATTATTTTGCTAATATTCATTGAAATGATACTTTTTTGCTAAAAATTACGGCATTCAGATCACAGGGGCAGGAAAACCCTTGAAAAATCCCCCCTGCATCCCCCTGGTTGAGGGAAAGTAATTTTTGAAAGAAAAAAAAATTATCTTGAAGCCCATCATAAATTGTAATTAGGTTTCAAATTTTATTAAAATATATTTTGACGCTCAAAAGATACAACCACATTAAGTTTACCCCCTCATTTTTTGAAGGTTTTAAGTATTTAGAAAAATGGTCAAAAAATGAAAAAAGATGTGGTTTTTAATTCATTTTCAACAGTTTATATTTCATGTCAATCTGCTAGAAAGAGTGGTTTAAAAAAATCTAAAGTAAAAGTAACTTCAAGTTAAAACCTCTAAAAATGAGCAGTGTACTTATTTTATATTTTCTAAACTCCTTCAGACCATTGCTGGCATTCACCACTTGATATGTATATTTTTTTTATGTTTACTTTTTTAAATAAAAATAAATAAAGAAATATTATTCCAGATATTTGTGGTTACTTAACTAAAACCTTACAAATAAGTGTAATTCAAATTTTATTTTTTTTATTACTTAAACAGATAATTTTCATATTTACATTTATTTTTTTGTTTTTGTTCCAGCTGCCATTATGTATAAAAAAAAAAGAACTTACAGTTTATTACGCAAGAATGATGCCTGTCTTGTTATTGCTTCTCTTGAAGTAGAGCATCTATAGAAAAATAAAAAAGTAATACTTAGTTTAACTAAAAAAAATTAAATATTAATTTAAGTAAATATTATATATATATATATATATATATATATATATATATATATATATATATATATATATATATATATATATATATATATATATATATATATATATATATATATAGGATACTTGTATGTATGTAAAGACTTGTGAAAGTATAAATTTAATAAAAGTTGATATCTTTTAAAATGGAAAAAAATAATTTAATTTGTTTTTTATATCTAAATATAAAAACCAATCTAATTTGCCTTTCATATCTAAATATAAAAAAGAGTTCAGTAATAGTCAAAAAATTTATTAAAAACATGATTTAATTATATAAAAACTTTCCTAGATACCCCTAGATGTGAATCAAGCTTATAGATAAAACCAGCATGCCAGATGGATTAAAAACCTTTAATTTGCTGTCTCTGTTCTATGCATGATGGAACTTTATAATAAACAACAATAAACAAATCAATGGTAAAATAAGAGGAATAAAATCCATATTGTCCAATTATAAAATATTAGAAGTCTGTTGATATTAATTAATAAAAATGTTGACTAAAAATAAGATTAGAAGTCTGTTAATTAAATATTCAAAGATTTTGCTAATAGTAGTATCAATACACCTATTTGTCATGAAATAAGGTTCAAATCTTTTTATCATTCTTTTATGAGCTTCTGCTTAGCACCTCTTCACTCTATAACTTTTTTCTTAGTTCTTTATCATTTTCCTTCTTCTTAAGACTGCACTCTTTTAAATGTAATTTCTGATCAAATTAACCATGCTCTCTCTCTCTTTACCCCTTTGCCAATATTGTTGTTACCTTGACATAAATGCTGATCACCCTGAATAACTTGGCTTTAATTCCACTGATCCTGTTGGCACTAAAGCCTATAACATCTTAGGCACTAAAGTCTATATATCTGCGTTCCTCAATCTCTTACTCAGCTAGTTAACTTTGTGACTTGTTTTTCTGACAAACCTAATAATTTACCTTCACTCCTTGATTTATGTCTTGTCTCTGATCCTAGTTTGTGTTCAGTTTCTCTTGTAGGTTGTTCTGTTTGTGTTCAGTTATCCTCTTGTAGGTTGTTCTGACCATGCAATGATCTCTAAATCTTTTATCTCTTAATTCCTTTTTAGACTAAGAACTCTCTTCAATCCTCAAGGCTGACTGCTATGATTGAAAAATTTTATTGTGTATTAGATGGAGGCAGAGGGGTTAGGGATATTGTTCTTGACATATCTAATACAAAGTTTGGCATGCTGGTCTTCTCCATAACTTGTTATGGTGAAGACCATATGGTGTATCTGGGAAAGTTTTTGAGATTATCAAACCGTTTCTTTCTAATCGATTTAATAAATTCATCCTTGAAGACCAAAACTCTTCTTTATTTCCAGTAACTTCTGGGGTACCTCAAGGTTCTATTCTTGGTCCTGTTTTTTTGCTAATCTGGATTAATGATCTTCCCAACTTCCTACAAAACTTAGCTATTTACTGCAAATAACTATCACAATACTGTAAACATTGCTATATTAATGAACGGTAACCTCTTCACTGAGTCCTCTTTTTCATGTCTTCTTGGATAATTGTACTACTACTGACCTTTCATGGAAACTATATATACAATTGATTGCTAAATTAGCATCTGCTAAGCTTGGTTCTCTTTATGGTGCTCGCCGTTTTCTCACTCCTAATTCCGTTCTCCACCTCTACAAATCTCTTACTCATACCTGTACGGAATTGTACTCATCCCTGTACGGAATACTGTTATCATATTTGGGCTGGTTTTTCTAATGATGCTCTTACTCTTCTAGACAAGGTCCAGAAACGCATTTTAAGTGTTGTTGAACCCAGTCTATCTGTTAAGCTTGAGCCTCTTTACCATCATCATAAAATGCATCTCTTTTTCTTTTTTATAAATACTACCATGGTCGCTGCCTAAAGGAGCTATCATCTCTAGTTAATTATTCAAATTTTTATTCTTTTACAGTATCTGTCCCTAGATGCTGTAAAATCTTTTATTAATCTAGTTTTTTCCTGCACTTCAACCCTTTGGAACTCTCTCCTATCTTTATGTTTTCCTGGCTCATTCAACCTACTACTTTTTAAGTCTTGTCAACCTTTTACTTGCACAACTTTTCCAGTGCTCTGTCAACCTATTCCTTTCTAATCTTTTTTTCTTAGTAATTACCAACTTAATAGTGGTTGTTTGCAGCCACTTTGAAGTTGGGAGTGAATCAGAATATGAAAAAAATAATAATTAAAAAAACAAAAGAAGACTGAACTTCTATATATTTTTTAAAATTGGAATCACAGTTTTAATTTTTAAATTTGAAAATTTTCCAATAAGCATGTGACAATGGAGTCTTTGCATAGCCACTACAAAGCAAGCAACAACCCATAAGTAGAAGCAAGAAGATCCAGAATTCATTATCTTAGGCAGGAAACAACGAAATACAAGTTTACATTTATGCTAGCCTATTAGATGAAGTTTAGTGAGAATGGTCGACCAAAATTTTCTGCTTACCCCTAAAGTCTTCGACTAGAAGGCCTTCTACTAGACGGTAGCTGGATGCAGTTAACATCTGTCTAAAATGAATTATTTTATTGTAACACCATTGCCTTAATTCAAATTAAAGACTTTTACTCAACCTAAATCAGAGTTAACTTTTTCTCAACTTTGCCTAGAAAAGCAAATAATAAGTACTGTAATATTTTTTGTAAGTAGTAATATTTTTATTTGAATACTTAAATGATTAAAAATATTTTTACCAAAAGATATAAGAAATAGTACAATACTGCAAGACACAAAAAATTGAATAAATTAGTCACTGTAAAAATTCAAATCAAATTTTTCTGTTATGATCATCATTAAAAAAAAATCAAAAACCATCATTTTTTAAAGTATCAAAAAAATTTTGAAAAAATTTTTTTGTAATAAATAATAGGGTCAGGAGGACATAAGATAGATTGTACTGAATCAGAAGTAGAGTGATTATGTTAATCCTAATTCTGACCATGACATTGCATTTTTACACAAACTTACAAATTAGTCAAAGTAACAACTAAATTTTTTTTCTCAAAAGAAATAAAAAATTTGTTTATTTTAAGAACTTTATTCTTATGAAGCAAGAACTATACAACTACACTATTACCACATTTTAATTTACTCTCGCAAAAAGTTAAAAACAGATTGATAAATAAATGAATATAGAACAAACTTTTTAATTTGAAAACTTTTTTATATTCCTTAAGTTTTGCACAAAATAAAGCACACTAGCTGTATATAATTTAAAATTAATATTGAAAAAGAATTTACTCCAAGCTGCCACCAATATCTTGCATTTCACGAACAGTACGAAGTGCACTCCTGTCTTTGTTTGCCTGAAATACAAAAAATAAAATAATGCATACTATTCCTTTACTAAGACAATTTTTTTACCAACAATAAAAAAAAAATATCACTAAAGATGCATCAAAAAAATTTTTTGATTTTTTAATTAATGGTGTGTTCGAAATACTCCAAATTTATATACAAGGAGGATTGCAAATTGAAATGGTCTTAAGTCATTCAGCATTCCTAAAATTTTTTATTAGTTGAAGAAATCTTTTAGAAACAATGAAGAAAAGTAAGATGTTAGTTATGTAAACTTATGCTAATAATAATTACTTACATAATGACAATTAGTTAAAATATTTATCTGTTTAATTGGAAGCAAATACTACCAGGCAATTTTTTTTATTATTATTATTATCAGATAAAAAAAATACTTGTTCATATATTTGTAAATGCTTCTGAAGCATCTGATCAAAGTAGTAATGTACTTTTATTTCTATTTCTGTAAGATTAGTATATTTTATATTTTGGTATTTTGGATAACAAGTATTATAATTCTGTGTGTATAATATATATTACCGACTCTATTCACACCAGCATAAGTTTATACTTGTAATGTATGTCCCAGTGAAATCCACTATTTTTTGTTTTGACTTATGTTTTTCTAAAAACATAACAACATCAAGGTCGTTTAATTTTTTTTATATTTTTCCTGTTTTAACAATAACCTTTACAGAAACATTTGATGGAAGTAATCACTGATTGAAAATATGTTAAATATAAGTATTGTTAGCATTTTTTTGTTTAAATTTTTATAAAAAATTAATGCCCATAAAAACAACAAGGACTAATTTTTAATGTTTGTGTAATTTTTTGTCTGCGCAATCTGTATATAGTATTGTGATATCCTTAACTAGTAACAAATAGAAATCTAATAGTACCAATAATACTAACAGTAGCTAGTAACCAGTTAAAGATTACAGTCACTATGTACCATAAGCACCTTATTAAAGCTGAAACTAGTAACCTACCACCTTAAAAAATAAATAGTGCAATTCCCTGAATTATATGTTGCTTTAAATAACATTAGACAAAAATGAACATTTTACCTACTATAATAATAATATATTTTTCCTTTTTTTTTTTTTTTTTTTGTTATCATCATCATTATCATTATCATGACTATGAGCATCATAATGCTAATAAACAAGATCAAAGAGATGGAAACTAAATTTACCTGTAATTTTTGGAATTATAAAATTATATTTTTAGGTGTAATACTTATGACTTAACTTGGAATTCTCTTGCTGTAAAATTGTTTAGAACTTTTCAAAATTTAATATACAACAAAATTAGAACTGACCATAAAAGCTGCATTTTTTACTAACTGACTGATGCCTTGATTTGTAACTGACTCATAACGACTTCCACTTTGTAGTGAAATTGCAAGTTTGCTAACACTGCCACCATTATCAATACTTGCAACACGAATTCCATTTTCAAGTTTTGATATCTATAATTTTTTATAGTATAAAAAAAGTAACAAAAAATGAAAAGAAAAAAATTCTTTAATATAATATTTAACTTAATATTTTTTCACACTTATATGATATATTTTGAATTAATCACTGATTAATTCAAAATAAATTATATAACAATTATATATGAACATTAATATTGCTTATTGTTAAATACATGCATTTTAAAAGTAAAATGTAATTATTAATTTGTATATAATATTAGCATTATTAGTAAACAATAATAATTTATAATTCCTACAATATTATACATATATATATATATATATATATATATATATATATATATTATATATATATATATATATATATATATATATATATATATATATACATATATATATGTATATATATATATATATATGTATATATATATATATATATATATATATATATATATATATATATATATATATATATATATATATATATATATATATATATATATATATATATATATATAATGTTAGCACAACACACACAAAAAGGAAACAATATCAACTTTGCAATATGCGAAACATAAATAACCACATACCAATCAAATGATGCAACATTTTAATAAAATTTTTTTGATTTTTTTTTACAATATTTCATTACTCTTAGATAAACAGATGATAGGGAATGTTTATAAATTTTAAAGAAATATATATAAATTTTCTAAAATTTTTCTCACCCACCCCAAGGTTATTAAGACCCCCCCCCCTCCTTTATTAATATTTACTAGTTATCAACAAAAAAATAAAATCTAAAACTAAAACAAAAAATCAGAAAACATATATATCAGTCACTGATAAGAATAAAAACTTTTAGTGCATTCTGAAAATTGTTGACCTTTAACAAATCTTGTAAATTTCAATTTGTCAAAAATAAAGTTTTTGTTAATTTCTCACCATAATATAGAACTTAAGCATATATAAGCATAATAAGTCCTATTTAAATTATGATGAATTATATTATACCGCAAATTTAAATTATACTGCAAGTCACATTAGAATTCAATCAGTTTATTAATGTTCTGTAAAAAAATTTAGGTTAAGTATTAGAATAAAATTCTTTATGAAGTTGAATGATAAATCAACATGATTAAAAAAAATAATAATAACAAACTTAGAAAAGCAAACCAAGAACCTTACAAAATCTTTTATATATAAAATATTTTATGTTAGTAATTTAAATAAAAACTTTACAACCTTTACTTCTTGTGAAGATGGTCTGGGGTATCTGCTAGAAACACCACTTTCAATAGGATCTGTAAGTGGTACTGAACAAGAAGCCTGCTAAAAAAATACATATACTAGAATTAAGTATAATTCTAATAAAAAATAATAAAAATGTTTTACATACTGGTATTTCTTTAATAAAAAAATATTTCTAATTTATAATAAAAAAAGTTTATTAATTAGCTTAACTAGAGTCTTTTAACAAACAACTTTTTAGGGTAATTTAACACTATTTCTTTTTTCACTATTTTTTTTTTTAATTTTATAAAACTATATGAATTTGTTAGAATAATTTTGGGGTTAACTGCAATTAATATACAAATTTTATTTATAAGAAAAAAAACTTACTGATACATTTCTAAAGGATTTTGAAACAAAACGAGCAATACTCTGGCTTCGCATTGGGAGCATCTTTTAAACCCCTTGTAAACCAGTAAATCTTGTCTACTAAATGTCCGTCTAAAAGTTAGAAGTAACTCTTTTCGACTCGACTAGTCGACTCAAGTTGTTTAATGTAAAATAGTCTTAGTTTCGGTCATTTCAACTTTCATATTTTTATCAGTTAAAAACTATTATTTTATATACTATTACATTGTATAAAATATTATCATATTATATTAGATAGTATTATATTATTATATAAAAGCGTACCCATAAATATTTGAAGAGAACTGCTTGAAGAAAAAAAACACATTTTTTAAGTTTAAACTAAAATTAGTAAATTAGTAATTATTTTAATTCGACTGAAATTAGTTGACTAATTTTTTAGCTTATCTAAAGAGTTTTTACCTTGACTAAAGTTTAAACAAAAAAAATTTTTTAAACAAAACAACGAAACGGTTTTTGATCGTAAATTTCTTAAAAAAAGTTCTCTATATCTTAAAATTTTTTTTTAAAAAAGAAGGTCCTATAGAAAAAAAGTCTGAGGCTAGTTCTCTCTGGCCCTCCCGGTGTTGTCAGCTCTGGCACACACTTGGGCTTTTTACGAGAACCTTTTACTCATATCTTGGTGTAAGTAAAAGTGAAAGCAGACTTCACCCTTGCTTTTCAGGAAAGTTTTGTAAACACAAAGTACATACATAAAAAACTTTTTATGTTTAAATTTATATAAACATACTAAAACTTATATGAATTAATGCATATTATTTTAATAGAAAGTGTATCTCTTCGATATGTAACAGAAAGTATATCTTGTGAATAGAAAGTATGTCTCGTCGATATGAGAAGCCATGACGCAATGGTATCGTACTTACCTCAAAAACAAATGGTATGTAGTTCAAACTCCACCTCTGGACAAGTTTTTTGACATCGGTTAGAAAGGAGGCGTGAGTTTCCCATTAAATGCTCATCCGTGGTGCTCTGTGATAAGACGTATGGATTTCTTGGGGCACCTAAATAAAATTTAAAAAAAAATAAAAAAAAAATGTGTGCGCGTTTGTTTACGCCTTTACCTAAATAACTCAGTTCCTGAATACCTACATCCTGATATCTTAAACCGTTTAGTCCTATTAATTCCTACTGAAATCCTGAAATCTTGAGCCATCCAATCATTGCTCACCTTCCTAATCTACCGTCCTATCATTGCTCGTCTAGCTAATCTACCGTTTAATTCTTGAATTTTCGCAGCCTCGCTAAAGATTGCTTAAATAACACCGATTCCCGGAAATCCAGGCCTAACTAATTTTGGCCCTTCCGATCTACGCCCTATATCAAATCTATGCACTGTTTCCAAAATTGTTGAAAAACTTGCCTTATCTGACTTCTTTTGCATATAATATTTCGCGAGGGGGTTAATGACGTTGCAGTTAACTTGATCCAAGTCATCAGGATGACTAAATGAAATGGTAAAAATGGTAACGTGGGTTAAAGAAGAAATTTTACACATCACCAATTTCTTAATATGAAAAAACTAGCATAGAAATATTTAGGGATGCCTCTATGTAAAGTGTTTTCGGAGCGGTTACTTAGAACTGCGGGGCTTATCTGCGACCGGAAAAGAAGCGTGTTAACTCCGGAACGAGTGCAAATGTTTGTAAATGCTGAAAATACAATATTTTATTTATCTCATCACTATCCATTACTTATGACTAAATTATTTGTTTCTTATTAATAATAAGATTATTTATTTGTTATTTAATAATATGCAGGGCCGTAGGAACGAAATTATATTGGAGAGGGGGGGAGCAGTACTACCCCGAAATAGTTTTAAAGACCTTTTATTTATTTTTTAATCATTTTTCAATCAATTTTTTTTTAAATTATTTATTTGAAAAATTATTGGGGAGAGGGGGCAATTGTCCCTGCTGCCCACCCGGTTGCTACGGGGTTGATATGATATTAGTTAAATTGCTATTATTTCACATGGCCGACACGGTTTTTAAAGTAGAGGGGAGGGGCACACTCCCTTATTTTATACAAAAAAATTCTCATTTTCAAGGTTAATTTCTTGAAAAAAAAAGTTTTCGTTAAAAAGGAGTGGGGAAGGCGTTAGAGACTCGGTGTTATTAGCTTTCTTTCACCTGCACATATAACTGACTTCGATGTTTTTATTTTTAAAGTCTGTGTAAGTATTAAATTAACTATAAGCACTATCAGTTAAATTAAAATAATAAAAATCACAAAAGAATCGGAATCGATAAAGAATTGGAATCGCAATTTCTATGGAATGAATTTTTTCAAAAAATTATTAAAAATAACATTCTTAAAAATATCTCTTTTGAACAATTCAAAACAGTATGTAAACGTTTCTTATTAGGAATAAACTTCGATTTAAAATATTTATTTTAAAAATTGACTATAAAATAAAATAGGTAAACTGAATAGATCCTCACCATTTTTTTTTTTTTTTTTTTTTGAAAAAGTCATTTTATTTTCCATTAAATATGCTACGACTGTAAAATTATGCTATTTTAATATCTTATTTTAACTTTTTAATATCTTTGTAGAAATATATTTTTGTTTTTTATGTTACCTATTTTTATGTTTTAAGTTTTTAAATTGTTATATTAACTGACGGCTTCTATGTAAACGGGGCTCGGCGATAAGACAATATGTCTTCTTCTTGCGGCTTCCGGCCATTTTTATTTATGTAAATAGGAGGGGGGGTCCACAATCGTCTTTTTTTAGATTTTTTATAGTTTAACCAATTTGTCTTAATTAGTTTTTCATGCTGATTCTGAAAATCATAATCATTTTTTTTCATTTCAATTATTTAGCCTTCTACTTCGATTTTAATAAAAGACAGCTAAATAGGCAGCCTTGTAACTTTAATCAAGCTAAAACAGAACTCATCTTGCACACCTGATGTAAAGTTTGCTGCCTTTCCATTTTTATCCATTTGTTTTTGTAGCTGGTTTCAACTATATTCCATAGTTTCAACTTTTTGGACAAATAATTGGACAATAATTTTATAAAATATTTTTAAACTGCGCGAACCTTCATTTTTTATATGGTTTAAATAATTAAGTATACATCTACGGTTGAAATTAAATGGTTTTTTCCAAAGCTTTCCAACTGCAACAACTTAATTAGAAAGTTAATACTAATCATATTGCATTATCACTCAAACACATAATACTTTTCTCTTTTTTGAAGTCCTGAGGTTAACTTTTGCCAAAATACTCTAGCAAGAATGATACAATCATTCAACCGCTTTGAGGTATACTTATTAACTGCTTCTAGAACTTTTTTAACTAGCTATTCGCTGCGTTTTAGATTAAAGCAGAAATTTTCAAAATTTGATCACCCAGTTTGTTTTTTATAAAGCCTTTTAGATAGCGGTGTTCCTTTAGCCTGTTTATCTTTAGAATTGTTAAAACTTTAGAATTTAACTGAACTTTTACTGACTTCATTAAAGAAAAGTGAAATAAAAAATGAAATCTTGAATAGCCTTCTTGATAGCTTGAATAACGATTTAAAAAAATAAAAAAAAAGGAAATTAAGATATTTTGAAGCAATCTGTCTTTTTGATTACATAAAACGTTTTGTTTAGAAAGAGACTTCAGATAAAAAATTTTTTTCGAAGCAATCTGTCTTTTTGATTACTTAAAACGTTTTGTTTAGCAAGAGACTTCAGATAAAACTTTTTTTTTGAAGCAATCTGTCGTTTTACTTATTTAAAACGTTTTCTTACAGATAAAACTTTTTTTTTTTAAAAATGCAACGATTAAAAATCAAATTCATCCAATCAAAATTTGAATAGCATAAATTAGAAAATAAAATAGAAAAGTTGCGTAACTTTATACGCAAAGAAATTTATGCAAAGACTTTTTATTTTTTATAACTTTAAATTTTTAAAATAGAAGTAGAAGGTCAACCATAAAAAATTAGCAAAAACTGAATCGTTTTTCAAACTTTTCTCAAAAAATTAATTAAGATTAACTGGTTAAACAAGTAATAAAGAATTTTGGACCCCCCTAATGTAAACAATTTTTTCTCATTGTAAATATAATACGGCAAGTTAAATAAAAAGAAAAAAAAAATTAAAAATTGAGAATCGGAATCGGAATCAGTATTTTTTAGAATATGCAAATCTCAAATACTAATGTTTTCTGCCTTGAATAAAGGTGCTCAAATTCCAAATGACAAAGTCAATGTCTTTCAAAATCTGTTCAAGTATATGCCTGCTGTAATTATTACATTTTATAAGAGTATTTTAAAATAATTTATTTAATTGTCAAAATATATACGTTTTATATGTTATGTTGTTAAATGGGCTTCTTACTGAAATGTTATACTTTTAATGGACTAACAAGAGGTGCTGTTTAACTAATTATTCTTTTAGATATCTTTTTATTGTGCAATGTATTTTAGATGTTTTTTTTTTTAGAACTTATAACTAAAGTTTTATTTTGTAGTGAAGATCTTGATACATGCTTTAGATAATATATTACTTATCTTCTCCGTCGAATCGAATTTTAAACAAAATACCGTGTTTATTTTATTTGATCACAGTCTAAAATAAGATTTTTTTCTAATAAAACAGATACAGTACTTTAATTGCCAAAATTTACAATCATCTTGCTACAATATATATAAAAAATACTAGTTTGTATTATATTTTTTTAACAGAAAATTGAGAACAAAATAGCATAGTATTTAATAAAATACTATGTTATTTTGTTCTCTCCAAATCAGGGTGTAGTAATTCAGATACCTGCAATTTAATTCAATTTCTTTAAAACTTTAGTAGTCTGTAAAGGAAATTAATACAAATCAGTTTTATTTGCGTTTTTTATATTATTCGGTCGCAGCTCTATTTAAAACTTTGAACTTGATTTTCTCGGTTTGGAAAAACATGGAGATAGAACAAAATAATTCTAAGGAGTCGTCCATAAAGTACGTACGCTCATAGGGGGAGTGGGGAGGTCATCAAAAAGCGTGCGAAAGCGTATGGGGTGGGGGGGGAGCTTCAATATAAAAGTACGTACATCGATTTTCTAATATATCACAATTAACCAGTTAATCAATAGAAAAGTTAAAATTCTGACTAAAGATCTTAGTTTGC